ACAAAAGTAGATTCACAAAGTTAGACGATTCTAAGTCATGCATGACGCCCCGCCTCTCTCTGAGTATTTGCGATCTTCTATCACGGAAATGTACGGACAGGTATAATACCCGTCGCCTCACTCCTATTTCTCAATAAAGCGAAGGAAAACACGGCGTCCATTCTAACTTTTTTTATTTCTATAAAAAGTCCATTATTATTGGTATCAAATGAAAGATTACTCCATAACCTTTCTATGAGTGCCTCGGAAATAAAAATGAATAAAATAGATGTATGGAATTTTTAGGTTTTTTTACTCTGAAAATAACACTCTCGAATTGGTAAGAAAAACACGGCTTCCCTCCAAACTTATTTTTAAGTTCGTAATATATTTTGATAATTTTGGATGGAAATAAAAGTGTGCTTCATACGATTTATGATATATAATTATATAATGCCTAAAAATAAAAATGAATTAAATCAAACTGAATTAACTTTCGTTAAAAAGTTTATCATGTTACTTTTTGTAAAATAGAGAAAATAAGAATCCCTAAAGAACGCTCAAAACGACAAAATTGAGAATGTTGCAGGCCCGGTTTGATTGAGCCTGCTCATGGACGGTAATGGAAAGAGCAAGTTATCGTCCACGCCCCCTAGCACCGGCTTAAGCAAAATTCAACATGAACTGGTACAATTTTGAAACATCCGCAGATGTGTTTATATGGCGATTATCATGGAACCTTCAATGTGACACGTAAGTGCCATACCATGAAAAACGGCATATGATCCCCAAGTAAAAAAACACACTCTGAAATTCAGTAAGAAAAAAACATGGCGCCCCCTACTTACTTTTTTTATTTCTTGGTCAATTTTGAAAATAAACAAGATCATCAAGGAAAGGCGGCTGAAAATTACATAAGAATTGCAGATTCGGATTGATTGAGTCTGCACATGAGGGATAATGAACAAGTGACGATTATCATAGAACCTTCAATGTGACAAGTAAGTGACACGCCCCCTAGCACCGGCTTGAACGGTACTCAATTCTCAACACTTAATAGCGCTGGCATCAATGATCCCGAAGGACCAGAAAAACACTGTTCTTGAGTGAAGTACGGGGCAACTTTTTACAACTGCCACACGGCACTTGGCACCTGCTGTTGTGAAGTATTAAAATCTGGAAACAAAATGATCCCTCGGAAGCATTAATTACTACAAAATTACATACGAATTGCAGACTCGGTTTGATTGAGTCTGTACATGAGGGATAATAAACAAGTGCAACAGTTTTTATTCATACTGAAAATACCGTATTAAAGATTGTACATATGTGCTACGGATAAGTATTTTCTTGATTTCGGAAAGGAAATCTCGGTGGCCGCTTAAAATCCTATTTTTGCAAATACTTGCATAGTTTTTGTTGAAAGTGAAATTTGTGCCAATACATTTATTTAATGATACCAATAAGAATATTGGATGGTTTTTACATTATCAATAAAATTACTCCCTTGAAGTTGGTCATTGTTTCCCCTAAAAATTTCCAAATCGCCGATGTTTCTAAGGAATATATGATAAACAAGATCAACAAGGAAAGGCGGCGCTCAATGAATGCAACCCTACATGACCCAGCAACAAGAACAAGTGGCAAGAAGCCCAGGCGGACCCCAAACAAAACACAGGACAGGGCACTAGGCATAGCACGGACAGGCTTATCACTAAAATGATAAATAATTTGTAACTGAGAAGAACACGATGTTAAATAATAAGGTAATGCACAAGTTATCTTCATCATAAATGGTAAAATCAGCAATTTTCAAGTGATGTTGCTAGTGACAAAACTTTTTTAACAAATGCAACATATATATGTTATGAAAAATGCCGTATGTTGTCCTTCAGTTTTATTTAAAAATATGGGAGAGGCGCCGTTTTATACCTGTCCGCAATAGAAGGTCGTAAATACTCCGAGAGGGGCGTGGCGTTATGCTTGACTTAAAATCGTTTAACTTTGTGAATCTACTTTTGTCATTTTAAACATGTTACTGTGTTAACGTACTCTTGTAGTTCTACAACTGGTAACACGTTTTCTTAAACTCTATTTTCCGTATTCGAGTTTTACATTTCATTTGTATATTACAGATCTATAAGTGTGCAAACATGCGTATGTATTGCATGCAATGGAAGATACGAACTTGTAAATTTCTTGTCGTTTTAGATGTTAGGTCAGTTGTTACGATATATATGTAAACTTGTTATATAAAGGCGGTAACCTTCAATTAAAAGATTGAATTAAGAGGCATACAATAAAAATGGTAGGCATACAAGTTCGCATTTTCAAAAGTCATTTTAAAAGGAACACTTTACATGTCTGGAATTTTGGCAACGAACGCCCTCCATAGTATACAGTAGGGCTATATTTTGCTTCTATGTATCTTCATGTAGCAAAATTTTCCATCGTCAAAGTCCATGTTAGAGTTATTTATGTCAAAAAAAGGACTGTTTATGGTGCATTTTTTAAGGGTGGGTGTTGAAAGGGTTAAGTCAAGCAACTCTTGTGATGGTCATGAACCAAGTATTATCATTTTTTGTTTCAAATAAAGTATTACATGTAATATGAATTTTGCTAATGGTGAAAAGGCAAAGTTTTTTCAGCAAAATGGCAACGGAAACTTTCGGAGAAATACAAATAATAAATTACGGACCACTCCTAATTAAAGGGATACTTAGTTGAATAATAACCGCGTTTTTCTAACAAAGACGACCATTTGATGAGAAGCAGCAAAATAAATCTATCGGTCGCGTATCTATTGAAACACCATTTAAGTCGCGTCATGACAAAACCAACATAATGGGTTTGCGACCAGCATGGATCCAGACCAGCCTGCGCATCCGCGCAGTCTGATCAGGAGAAACTGATAGCGAACAGCATGGATCCTGATCAGACTGCGCGGATGCGCAGGCTGGTCTGGATCCATGCTTGTCGCAAACGCACTATGTTGGTTTTGTCAGGACGCGGCTCATTTAAAGACTCACTTATTTTCAAAATAATACATGAATGAGATTGGAAATTATTCATTTTAAGTATTATAAAGTTATACGACTATATACCCCCAGCAGAGCTATTCAAGAAATGTCTTCTTACGTCTGAAGAAGTCACTTTTAAATAACTGTTACTTTCCTTGCTGAAATAAATATACGGTGACCTACTTGGGCCAGTTAAATATGTAACATTTTTTCTCTAAAAGTCTTGTGTCGCCATTCTGTACTTTAAAGATAAGGTAGCGAGACTTTATATCCTCTAATGAAACTTTTGGCGCCATTCAACGTTACATTTGGCATCATTGTAAGAATCAAAATGTAAAAAACTTCGCGATAATGTACCTTAACTCTTGCACGTTTTTTACGAGAACTGTAGTTATATACAGTACTTAGTGACTATAATGAAAGTTCCACGAAAGAGAATGATGTTATATCTCGATATTTATCTACTAACAAGAGCAGTGCGCACGACTCAGTGCTTGATAGCACTGTCATACGTTATCCAAGAAAAGATACAGTTTTAGCGTCTTCCAACGAACAACTGATACAGCCTGGATAATGTAGAACTTTCTAAGTTTAAAAAGAACCATCATAGTTCTGTCAAAATCCACATTATAGTAATGGACCTTGGAAACTGACCTCCTATAATTCTCTCAAATAAGTGTGTGGATTTTCAACCCATTCCCTATAAGTTTTTGAGATATCAATTTGCACGCAAATACTTTTCAAAAGACTAGTGTGAAGACGACACCGACGCTTTGTCGAGTACTTCAAAACGTCTTGCTAAAGCAAGAGATTTAGTCAATCTTAAATGGCAATATTATGACTGCCTAAAACAGGACACCATATAAACGGACGGAAAGTGGTAGCGAACTTGATGGCGCAACTCAAAAGTAAAATTCAGTTCATGAAACAAAAAGTAAAGTAAATAAATAAATAAATAAAATTAACTGGATGGACTGTTTATTTTAGCATTGTTTTTTCGACGGAAGACACTGAAACTGTATCTTTTCTTGGATAACTTCTGACATTCAGAGAGGGAAAAATACTACAACAATAACATGAAATTCACTATACCCCCCCCCCCCTTCACTAAAACAGAAAACAGAACAAAACCGGCCATTGCGTTAAGAATGTCAATAAGGAAACTTACAAACTTGAGGTCCAGAACGCTGCCCATATAACGTTGACGCGATTTAGAGTCAATAAACATAACAATTTTACATATACTTAGTAAATATGACTTTCCATTGAAGGCAGCCATTTTAACATTGTGAATGACAGTGAATTTTGCACGAAAATTCCGTGCGAATACAATTTGCCCGCCTAAAGTTTATAGGCCATGCAAATGTTTTTCTATCGTTTTATATTTTCAACAAGAACATACATTTTTTTCAATTATATCTATTTATTAATAACATTAAGTGTTTATTAATTTATCTGTTCTTTACGCTTAATAATGGTATTTTTAAGTCAGATACAGTTGTTGGTATTTTCTTCAAAAGTATCTTCTTACATACGTAGAGACAGTTCGCCAGGACAAACAACAATTTCTCTTCGGTTTCGCCTCGGACAATTTGTTGTTTATTCTAGCAAACTGTCTTCTTAAGACACTTTTGAAAAAAAAACTCTTACTGAATTTATAACTTAAAACATATGCAGCGATAATCAAATAGTAAAAAACTGAAATGATATTCAGATACCCTGCGAGTCATCATAACAATAAATAATTTCATAAAGATAATGTACAGCACAGTATATATCACAATGCAATATTACTTTCGATTTAAATGTAGACTTTAATAAAATCAAAACTAATCATACTGCCCCTTTAATGTATTTTGTGTGTATTTGAGTTTATTTATACTGGCTACCGTATGCCCGTATGGGCGAGTCCCTGGCGCTCACCTTTATATACTGTTCTATTTTTGTTCTCTGCTGTTCATTGGTTATGTAACAGAAGATACGCCCCTAAAGGTGTGTAGCTGTCACAGACATTTTATGTCTATTTCAGGTTAATTGGTACTGAAGCAAAAATAAAATTGAAATAAAATAGCAAAATGAATGATGGAAATGAGTTGCATTCCTCAAAGCCGGAATTACCGTTAGAAATTGTTTTACGCACATGCGATAAAGAAAATCATGTCAATATTTACAGCATTAAAGATATTGCGATATATGCAGAGTCTTTGATAAATGAGAGAAAATTTGAGGAATTTCGACAAATGCTTGGATTATTCTGCCAGAATGATGACTTTTACCAGATACTGAAAGATGACAAATTTTTAATCGCATTTCTTAAGTATCAACTCCATCTTCAACAATTTTCAGAAATCATTCAAACGCTTCAGGTAACTTCTTGTAGATTATGATTTTTTAAATTATTTTATTCAAATAAATTTTATGCATTTTTGTACAAGTAATTTTGTTTTTTATAAAATCATACATGTTAGCTCAATGATTCAGGGTTCAGCATAGCAGTTAATTAATTAATATAAACAAATAATGATCATTTACAAGGGTAGCTCGACTATACAGAAATATTTGTTGTTTTTTATTCAGAAAATATGTAGGGTTACTCAACATCACTAATTTCACATCATCACTTATTTCACGGTTTTTGTGCATCTGTAGATTTTTACACAAAACATGTCTGCAAAAAGCTACAATAGTCCATTAAAATGTGTGCATATTATCATTTTCTAACTGATCTTATTTCTTGAAGAAAAAAAAACAGTTGTGTAACAAAGTAAAGTTTTATATTTAAGATTGAGCAATATACAATTAGTAATTTAAACTGAAACATGAAAAAACAACAACAAAGAAAACAAATGTAAGGCCATTTATCGCCATTTAAATGATGGCATACTGTTTTCAAAATGGCAGACCTATGATCTTGCAAATACCAAAATATTACAGCTTTTTGTACAGTATTAAACTTAGTTCATTGTTGTTTAATTTCCTTCTTGGTTGCGTGAACGGAGAGGAGCATAGAAAGCCCGAGGTCAAACCAAGGAGTTCAAAAATAAAGTTCATTTCAGTATCTGTAGTGTAATAAGTGTACTCGAAGTATGTTCCAGGAAATTGCCGATTGCAAAGTATTTATTAACGAAACAATTATAAAAATATTTGAATATGGAACAGTCCAGTAATAATTGGAGGGATTTCAGGGTGTGGTCAAGTTTATAGATGCGCAGACTGGCATAACAAGGTTTTATTAAAGATCAAAATAGAACTTGCAAGACTTACAGTACAGTAAACAAAATAAAAGAAAAATTTAGTGAGAAAAGTTGCGCTCGTAAGAAAATCAAGATGAAATATTTTTAAATGGTGCATCCTAAAGCCTGTCTAGCGATATATATCATAATTCTGTCGGAACTATTGAAAATTTTACACAACTTTATCAAGTTTTGGAACTGTCCTATTGTGAATGGCAGATAACGTTACTGCAACCATTTAAAATCCCTAGGAATTACGATCATCTTATTATTACGAAGTTTGGGGGGAGGGGGTATATACATCGTAACATGTAGGAGTCACCCGATGGTCGGTCGGTCCAGCGGTCCGTCCGGAGCATAACTTGAAGACAAATGATTGAAATTCAATATAACTTCATATAATGGTCAAGCACATTGAGAGGAAATGCAGTGCACAAGAACCATAACTCTATCTTGACTAATTACAGAGTAATTGCCCTTTGTTACTTTTCATTGTCCGGAGCATAACTTGAAAATTACTGGTTGGAATTCAAAACAACTTCATGCAATTGTCAAGCACAATATGGTAAAGTGCCGAGCACAAGAACCATAACTATATCTAAAGTAATTACAGAGATATTGCCCTTTGTTACTTTTCCATTGCTTTCTTTTGTCCGCACCATAACTTGAAGACTAATGGTTGGAATTCAATATAACTTCATACAATGGTCAAGCACAAAGAGAGGAAATGCAGTGCACAAGAACCATAACTCCATCTTAACTAATTACAGAGTTACTGCCCTTTGTTACTTTTCCTTGTCCGGAGCATAACTTGAAAACTACTGGATGGAATTCAAAACAACTTCATACAATGGTCAAGCACAATAAGGGGAAGTGCAGTGCACAAGAACCATAACTTCATCTTGACTTATTACAGAGTAACTGCCCTTTGTTACTTTTCCATTTCTTTTTTTTTGTCCGGACCATAACTTGAAGACTAATGGTTGGAATTCAATATAACTTCATACAATGGTCAAGCACATAGAGAGGAAATGCAGTGCACAAGAACCATAACTTCATGTTAACTAATAACAGAGTTACTGCCCTTTGTTACTTTTTCTTGTCCGGAGCATTACTTTAAAACTACTGGATGGAATTCAAAACATCTTCATACAATGGTCAAGCACAATAAGGGGAAGTGCAGTGCACAAGAACCATAACTTCATCTTGACTTATTACAGAGTTACTGCCCTTTGTTACTTTTCCATTGTTTTATTTGTCCGGAGCATAACTTGAAGACTAATGGTTGGAATTCAGTATAACTTCATACAATAATCAAGCACATTGAGAGGTAGTGCAGTGCACAAGAACCATAACTCCATCTTGACTAATTACAGAGTTATTGCCCTTTGTTCTTTTTCCTTGTCCGGAGCATAACTTGAAAACTATTGGTTGCAATTCAATACATCTTCATGCAGTTGTCAAGCACATTAAGAGGAAGTGCACAAGAACCATAACACCATTTTGACAAATTACAGAGTAGTTTCCCTTTGATACTTTTCCTTGTCCAGAGCATATCTTAAGACATACTGGTTGGAATTCAAAACAGCTTCATACCATGGTCAAGCACAATAAGAGGAAGTGCAGTGCACAAGAACTATAACTCTGTACAGAGTAATAATAGAGATATGGCCCCTTTGCTCTTTTCTTGTCCAGAGCATAACTTGACAACTACGAGTTGGAATTCAATACTATTTCATACAAGGGTTAATATATTGAGTCAAGTATATTGAGAGTAAGCGCAGTGCACAGAAACCATAACTCTTTCTTGACTCATTTAAAAGTTTTTGTCCTTTGTTACTTTTTATTGTCCAGTGCATAACTTGAAAATTAATGGTTGGAATATAATGAAACTTTATACAATGGTCAAGTGCAGTGAGATGTAGTTCAGTGCACAAGAACCATAACTCTATTTGGACTAATTACAGTTATTGCCCTTTGTTACCATTTTTGTCCATTGCATAACTTCAAAACTAGTAGTTGGAATTCAATACAACTTTATACAATGGTCAAGCCGAATGAGAAGAAGTGCAGTGTACAATAACCATAACTCCATCTACAGTATTTATAGAGTTATTGCCCTTTGTTCCTTTTCCTTGTCTTTCTGGACTTATTACAGAGTAATTCAATAAAACTTCATCAATGCCCATACACATTGAAAGGAAATGCAACATACAAGAACCACAACTATTTTTAATTGCCCACAAACATAACTCTTTTTCAATTCAAAACAAGGTATTCTGTTACTAGTAACATCCTCATTTCCGAAGAAGTCCTGCAGGGGTATTCATCACATTTAGTGATAGTTTTAAATTTTTTTTAATCTTTTTTTTAGTTTTCTTTTCGATGTCAATGGGGAAAAAATTAGGTATTATTAACTTCAGTATTTCATTTTTTTACAGAAATAATTGAGGAACTGGAAGAAAATAAGTATGTTCAGACTTTGTTCCTAATGCGTGCATTGCAATTGCACACCACAATATTGCATGTTGATTGATGAAACTTACATATAGGTCAATATGCATGCATGTAAACATGTTTAACATATTGAATTCTTTACTTTAATCAAATTACAGAGTATAGAAAGCACGCGTAACCCGGAATTTCTGGAACTTTGGGATGAGGTTCATTATCAACAATACTTTTCTACACATGGTAGACTGACATCCGTGCATAAGTTTAGAATCAGACAGAGGTAGGTAATCATAATAATAATTATAGCATAAAACCATTGCAAGTGCTTCCCTTTTAAAGTTTGGACCAATTCAAGGTAATGCATACCATATCATTTAAATAAATATTGGGAATCTGTATTGGTTATTATTGATTATATACCATTTCTATACATGTACAATGTATATATATAGTATTAAACATGTGACAAATAATAATCATTAATACTGCAAGTGTGACATTCATTTTCTCAACTTCAGCATCAGGCATCAACGATTTATTCATCCACTTCTATGTTTTATTTGGAACAAACTGCAGGGTTAGAATTTAAGCTTGCATACTGGCAAAATGCCAGTTAAAATCTTATACTGCCAGCTAATATTTCTCTAGCTGGCATTTAATTGCAAGTGATTGTTCATTAAATCTGACGTTTACATAATTGATATCTTCTGAGCTGATGATGATGCTTGGCAACTGCCTACTGCAGCACAAACTTATGATGTTTACTATGCCAGATGCAGTAACTGATATTTACCTTAAAAACTCAAAAATCATTTATTGGTTGCTCTATTTATTTTTTCTTTGAATATATTTAGATGGACTATTGTAATAGACAAACACCAAGTCTATTGGTTAATGCATCCATGTTGTCTCATCAGTTTCCAATGTAAATGTGTAGCACCTAATATAAAGTGTTTACTGTTCAGCTGAAATATTTATTTCCTCTAAGTGTTAAGGCTGTTGGTGTTAACAAATTACAAAATAGGCTAAAATTAATAAAGGTCCCAAGAAATTACATTACATGAACAAGTTGGGTGTTCCTCTGGTATATCTATTCCTGATCCCTAAACAACTGTTTATCATTTATAAATTAATGTGTTGACATGTTTTTTGTTTCGTTAGAAGAAGAGATCTGTATTTACTAGTGAGACATTCAAACTTAATATCATTTGTCATACCATATGTTCAAAATACATTGACAAAGTGTACAATAATAATAAAAGATATGCAATCATGGAAATGCCAGTTAACTAACACATAATGCCAGTTAAACATTTGATTACTTGCAAAAATTTGCAAGTAGAAAATACTGCTGAATTCTAACCCTGAAACTGTTTCCATGTTTGTTAACAAGATTACACATACTAGTAATTGAGCCACGTCACAACAAAACAAACATAGTGCGTTTGCGACCAGCATGGATCCAGACCAGCCTGCGCTATCAGTTTCTCTACTTGTAATAGAGTTGGTAAGCAAACAGCATGGATCCTGATCAGACTGCGCGGATGCGCAGGCTGGTCTGGATCCATGCTGGTCGCAAACCCACTATGTTGGTTTTGTTGTGACACAGCTCATATATAATTATTTACCTTTGTTAGAAATCCACCACCGCCAGGGCTGTGTGTGGGCGGAGTTAGACCTAACAAACGATTGTTGGAAACAGCATCAGCCGTGTTTCGAGAATGGTTTACCAAGCATTCTTCATACCCTTATCCATGCAAATCAGCAAAACGTGCTCTTGCAAAGCAGGCTGGCGTCCCTGTTGACACAGTAAATTTGATTCCATTAGTTTGAATAGATATTTCAATATTTTAAGTAACCAATACTTACTCCAATAATTGGTATTATTTAAGGCTCCTTTAATTTTAGTAAAATTATTTAAGTTAATATTGGTATTCACACTTAATTGGAGGAAAGCCTTCACACTACTGGACTTGACATTTGTAACCAATAAATCTACCAGGCTCCCTATCATTGTGGTAAAGTGACAGAGTGGGGGGTGTGCTTTGACCTCAAGACTATCAATTTTCTGGTAAAATTTCCACCTCCAGGGTGAATCAGATGAATTAGTGCACATTCAAACCAAGTTCAGAAACAATTTGTTGCCTGTCTACAGTTTGTTAAGAAATACAGTTTGTTAACAAACTTTTATTATGCCTCCACAATGTGGGAGCATATAGCGTTGCACTTGTCCGTCCGTCCGTCAGTCTGTCAGTCCGAGCCAACATTTGATTATTATGAGCTTCATTCCGTAGTTAAATAAAGAACATAAACTCATAAAATTCAAATTAAGAGCTATTTTTTTGTTTTTATGAGCTTATTTTGCTTATGGACGTTGGTCCAGGTGGTGTTTATGAGCTCATTTGCCTCATAAACATCAAATTTTGGTACATCCGTCCGTACATCCCGAAATCTTGTGAACACAACTCCTCTTAAACCGGATGACAGATTTTGCTTAAACTTACAGGGATGATCAACCTTAATGTGTAGATGGTAGTAAAGGACGGAATTTTTGCTGCGACCAAATTTAACAGAATTATGGCCCTTTGTTGATTTTTTCACTATATACTATGTAGAAATTTTGTGAACGCAACTCCTCTTAAACCGGATGGCAGATTTTGCTTAAACTTACAGGGATTAACAACCTTAATGTGTAGGTGGTAGTAAAGGAAGGAATTTTTGCTGCGACCAAATTTAACAGAATTATGGCCCTTTGTTGATTTTTTCACTATATACTATGTTGAAATTTTGTGAACGCAACTCCTCTTAAACCGGATGGCAGATTTTGCTTTAACTTCCTGGGATTAACAACCTTAATGTGTAGATGGTAGTAAAGGAAGGAATTTACACTGTGACCAAATTTAACAGAATTATGGCCCTTTGTTGATTTTTTTCACTATATACTATGTAGAAATTTTGTGAACGCAACTCCTCTTAAACCGGATGGCAGATTTTGCTTAAACTTCCAGGGATGAACAACCTTAATGTGTAGCTGGTAGGAGAGGAAGGAATTTTTGCTGCGACAAAATTAAACAGAATTATGGCCCTTTGTTGATTTTTAGTTTTCAACTTGTGGCACATGTAGTCCAAAAAATATTTGACCTAGAGTCATAAGATGACAGAACAGTGGCGTGTGGGGGCATCCGTGTCCAATGGACACATTTCTAGTATTGTTAAATGTTTAACTAAAATCACTGTGCTCTTCTTCAAGGTCACCTCATGGTTTTCTAATGCTCGAAGAAAACAAAAAATAAAACTAGAAAAGATTGAGAAGTTATCATGCTATGGTGGTGATGAAGAATTAGATGAACAAAAAACAGAAGGTATTACCTCAATAGAGCCATACACTGCTTTAGATCAGAATGAAATGGTAGAAGGAGAAATTTGTGAAAGTACAGAATTACCTAGCATTCAAACCATAGGGAGTGAAACACCATCTGTTACTGATGAAAGTGTTGTACCATCATGGAGTAATAATTTGCCAACTACAGTCCAAACAACATATCCTCTTGATTATTCTACAAGATCAAGGATTCCCTCAGAAGAACAGTGTAACAGCCATAGAGTTCCATTTTCAACCATTCAAGAAAGTAATGGACGACTGAAATACTGGAAAATTCAGTCTGAATGTCAAACTGAAGGGTTTAGAAAATGCCTTAGACAAGTAAATGAAACAAATGACAAAACAGAACACAAACAAAATAAACACCAGATTAAACCTTTCACAGATATTGAAAGGGGTTATGTTTTATGTAGAAATCCATGTCTAAAAAAGGAAAATGGTCATATTGTCAAGGAAGTCCCAGAAAGTGTTGGTTACTCATTATACAATGGAGATTGTATGGAATCAGATGAACAAGACATTAATACTAGAGCAAAGAATGAGACAAGTAACAATGTTGGATGGGTGACAGAAAATTTCAAACAAGCCTTTGATGAGGAAAAAATCCATATGAAAACCCCTTGGAAAGCAAACAATCTCATATCCAAGACATGCAGTATGGAAGTTGTAAACAAGGTTAAGAAAGCGCCTTATAAAACAAGTGAAGTTGATATCATGGAGGGTTACTATGTAGGAGCTGATGCAAAACATACTGAGATGTGTAACAAATATGGATATCAAAGTGCAAAAGATATTACTAACTTTACAAGTAGTTACAGACAAATTCTTCCTAAACTAACACTGGAGGAAATACATAGTAAAGCCAAGGAGGATTACCATGGAGGAGCTGATACAAAACATACTGAGGTGTGTAACAAATACAGATATCAAAGTGCAAAAGATAATAGTAACTTTGCTAGTAGTTACAGACAAATTCTTCCTAAACTAACATTGGAGGAAATACATAGTGAAACCAAGGTTCCAAATGAAACTTTAATACAGAAACTTCGAAACAAGCTGAAAGACCATAAAATAAAAGGAAAGGGACGAAACAGAAGGAAAAACACAAATATTACAGCAGATGATTGTATAAAGTCTTTACAGAAACTCTGTGATCATGTTGAAGCAGGTGTAATGTCACCAACGGACTATGCTTGTAGTGTTGAATTTGATAGTCTGACAGATGAAGAAAAAGATGATGACATGATTGGCATTGGACATTTCACATTGAAAGGAGATCATGGACAGAATAAGACAGAGTTTGAAAATATTTCAGAGGTTAGAACAGATTTTGAAACGGGAAATGTTTGCAGATTGTTCAATGATGTTAGAGGAGACAGACATGAGGAAAAGATGTTAAGTATTGAAAGAAGTGACATTGTACATGTAAATGAGAAAGAACAGTTTGCAGCCATGAGTGATACAGACATTCCAGTCTGCTTAGTAAGACAACCTGAAGCTGGATTAAGCAGAGAATGGAGGTATGATGGAACTTAAATTAGCATTTGTTTTAGGCCTGTCAGAAGGTCTTGGTTAAATAGATAATTTATAACCGAGCCACTCTAGAAAAGGAAAAGAAAAACTTTATTAATTGTGGTTTAAGGCATAATTTATTCATATTTAACTGAAATATTCTATTGTCCAGAAGTATTGCGTGGGTGAAAAATTGAAAATTGTATGTGGATTTTCCAACATTCATAAATAGACAGATCTCTATATGATCTTAACCTGTCTAATTCAGATTATAAGATTACTGCATAATAATAATTTCAACGCCATCTTTTTGTTAACAAGAGCACATGTCAATGTCTTTGATTTGATCTTTTGATAATGAAATAAAAGCTTTAGAGTAGAAATCTTATCAATTGTGGAAGATCCTTTATCTATTCTTAAGGAAGAGCAGATTAAAGGAACCAGTCCTACCCACAGGCACTAGTCACATAATCAAATATTTTACATAACCGGTCTATATATGTATCTTATTTTAGTATATAGCCCATATAAAATTTTAAAATGTTTGTTTCAAGCACCTGTGCCCAAAGATAACAATTCTGTTGTAGACTGTTAACTACAAATTTGAAATTTGTAATTCATTCAATATGTTTATTGTTTACATCATATTTACCTTTTTTATCAGCCAATCAGATCAAAGAAAGAGTTCACAATCAGATCAGCTTGTTCCATGCTCACCTGAATTATTCTATGCATCAGCATTCCCATTGAGTCCAAGTGCATTTGAGTCACCATTTTCATCAGCCGTCCTGTTGGTTCCAAGCCCAATAGAATCACCTTATCAATTGGCTTCAAGCCCATCAGAGCTACCATGTTTACCTGAGACTGAAATGGATTACAGCTCAACAGATTTACCCTACCAATTAGGGAGTTATAGATCACCACTGGATCCTGGGGTATCAGACATATACAGCCATAGTCATGCTGGGGAATTGGATAAGCAGAACTTTCGGTAATAAATTTTAATATGATCATTATTTTCTAAAAATACAAATTTTATCTATTTAAATTTTATTTCAGAGACATGTGAATGGTTAAAAAAAATAATAGCGCTTAACTTTTATATAAACAATAACAACAGCAGTCTGAAAATCTCAAGTTATGAGAAACCATTTTCTGTAAGAAGATAATGTTGCCGTAATTTGCCTACAAAGCTGCATCCCTATACTTTGATTTTAATGTGTCACAGATTGCTGTTTGTAACTCTTAAAGTAGCTGACCTCTAGAAGATAGCAGAAAAACTGCCGTCTTGCTAATATTTCAAAATCCCCCCTCAAAAACATTATATAGTTGAAAGAAAACGAAATGAGTCACTTCAAAATGTTCATATTTTAACATTATTGCTTGAAAAACAAACAGTTCGCTTTTCCACCAATGGGAAATACCTTTTTATTATTCCACGGAATTCTTTCATTCAGGTTTTTTTTTCTAGTATCACGTGATTGTACAGGACAATATTGTGACCTGTGCTCCGGAACGCACGGAATCCGGGATTTTATCAAACATAGGGATACCAATAATTGCTTTTGTTTTTATATTTGTAGTAATTTGTGGCCCAAAAAATTTATAATTGATTAATTATTTCATATGAATGATGACCAATTTATCGATTTAACCTTTAGCTTGAAATGTGATAGGGGCCTACTCAATGACGAAAATTGATAAACGATCCCGGGCATACCGGATACTGGGATTTTTCCGGACAACTGTTGTGACACGTGACTGCGTTAAATGAATTATCTTCTCCTATTTATATTGTCTACTGCTTTGGTAACGAATGGAAAAAAAAACCCGATATATTTACGCTTTTGTCAACATTCTTTCTTGAATTAAGGTGTCAGTGATGATGGATTTATACAATAAACCTAACTTGATCAGTATTTACTGTTTACTTGAAATTTTATTTCATTTTTTTCATTTTACCATCTGGTGGTCAGTGGCTTTAATATCACTAGCAATTGTTTGAAGACCACGGATGCAAATGATCAAGATATTGTGCCTATCTGAAGGTCACTAACCATGCCCTAATTGTAATTATCCACTAACACAGGCAAATATCATGCAAAGTTTGAATGTCAATGGCTTTCCTTGCTTAAAAAACATACAAAACTGTTTTTTTCAATTGAGCACATGAAAATTGTTCTATGAAATTTGACCACTTGAGATGCAACCAGTCAATTGTCTGGCATATCTCAACAATTGAACAGCGGTGCAAAATCTGACTTTGTCTTTTGCTTGTCTGCTTTGTCTGAAACAAATTTTTTTTTGCTTGTCTATATCTATAATATATACAGTCCAACCCCGTTTATTCGAAGTGCATGGGACTAAATATTTACTTCGAATAATCGATGGGTTCGAATAATCGAAATCCGAATATTGTGATAGACGAAAACTACTCAACTTTGACCAATCGTGGCAAAACTACCGTTTACAATACACTTATACTTCCTGTAATCAATTGAGAAAAATAAATATTCAAGAAAAGATGCGTAAAAATTGTTGTATTGACATTGAAGACATAAATACTTTCATTTTATTCTACATTATGTATCGATTCGTTTCGCGCAAAGCCTTGATAATGGCCGTGTTGTCACAACGGTATATACAGCTAAACTCTGGTATTTTCGATTCGGAAAAAGGCTCTCATGTAGCGTTACAATTAATATAAAAAATGTTTTGGATGTTTTGACAAATTTACGTAAACGTTATGTATGAAAATTATTGCTGTCATCTTCAAGCAATAACAGTAACAAAATCGGACACGGTGCATTGCTTTTCATTTTCGGTAATTAAAGTTGATTAAAGAACACACAAAGAGTTATTATCATGATTGTCTAAATACATGCATGACTATTGATGTTTTTCACAAGTCGACCAGTCAGCGAGTGGATCTGCGTCAACTAGTCTGGCTTCGAATAATAATTAAGCTGGCTTCGAATAATAGGTGTGAAATTCTTTCATAATTGTATAACCGGGACCGAAATTTTACTTCGAAAAATAGGAGGTATTCGGATAATGCATTTCGAATAATACGCTCGTATTTATATTGATTTATATAGAGATTAAAACGGGACCGCCGATCTACTTCGGATAATGCCGGGTATTCGAATAAAGGGTTGTCGAATAACCGGGGTCGGACTGTACGTAAATTCAGGAAAATTTGCGGTTGTCCACAAAGACTGTGGGACAACCTGGACAATGCAGACAATTGATTTTGTTGCCCCTGTAAACTGTGGACAACATTATTTTAATTACTGCCTGCATTGGACGAAAAACATGACCTTATATTTATAATGATTAATATATACCTTCTAAATTTGATTGAAAATAGGTTATCGTATCCTGATCCATTGAGTGCATGGATAGGAACTGGTTGGTCACCTACAGAAGGGCCCTACACTGATGTCCATCATGACATTTCAAGATATTCTGTAAGTTAACATACTGGTAATTACTTCTTTCTTGTGGAATATAAATTTAAGCAAAAAAATCCTAATTTTAGTTCTATGAAGAGGACCCTGTTAACACTTCACTTTTTTTTCACATCATAATGGAGAAAAAAATGTCAAAATACAAGTACAAGTAACTAGTTTCCAAGCCATTTTGAAGGCCACTTTGCAACTTGATATTCCAGCAATAATGTGTAACTAAAGATACATATAACTAAACTATCGACACACCCTACGTTTTAAAAAAGCATTTTGTCCGTAAAACTCTAATGTATTTATCTGCAAAATTATTGAATAGCATTTGTCAATTCTTATATTAATAATGTTCAATTTTACGATGGTTTTTATTTTATGAATTTATCTTTTTTTATTTATTTTATCTTGTAAATTTTCCAATGCTCTTCAAAAATTGAGACCCATGCATAATTATAGTGATATTTTTATTTTCAGAGTAACTATGGTACAGTGGTAAGGGAAGCGATACAGGGCCTGCTGAATCTGAGCTCCTCACAGGAGTCGGTTGGAAGTTGTGTGGACTCTACTTTCTTATAATGACCTTGTATTTTGACCTCTGTATGACCTTCACATTGACATTTGATGACCTTGAATGGTTTTCAATTTAATGCTCTTAATAATGTTTGTACTGTTTTTGTTGCATTGATTTAAATGAGTTAGGGATTACTCGTATTTATGGTATATAAAAAACTTTATTCTTTCTTTATGTCATGTTTGTTGATCAAAATTGTTAATTAGTCCTTCACACTTTATTTTAAGTGGTACTTTAATGATTTTGTTAAGGAAATCGGATTTAATTAATTGAAAATTGCAGGTATTTTGCCCTGTAACATGTTATTCTATATTCAGTTATAAATATATCATACATGTATGGAGGCAATACACAGTTTTCAAGGCTTCTCGGCAAACAACTGACTGCGCCACAATCAAAACCTCACACACAAGTCTCACACACCTGAAATAAATGCATTTCATATTTAACATATATATATGTATCTCACAGCAAACAATTAAAAATACATGTCCGCCGTCTAGTTTTCTGGCACATAGCCCTGTGTTTTTCATTGTTTTGGCCGCGAAAATCAACGTCAAATAGAGCGGATTATATCCCTATTCGCAAAATACAACAATATATTAACGTCAAAAAATTAAATCACAAGCTATAGTGTTTCTTCCTTTTTAAACAATGCACAATCTGAAAATAACATCCAAACAGGGTGCCATCCACCTACTTTTTTCACTATTCTAAGTCTTCTGCATACTCTTTAAATTGAAGAGCTGATTCACAGGCTAGCTCCAAAAACAACACATTCGCATCCGACACTGGTACTCTCTCCAAATGCAAGGGTCAACGCCACTAAATTCAATTTTACTAAATAACTGAAACACAATACTAGTCATTGAAACTTGAAATATAGTAACTCTAAACATTTAGAACCTCAAATATCCACTTCAATTTCAAAACTGTCTCTTATTTGTAAATTTGACCCTGGCCAATTTGAAACTAAACGACCGAAACTGTGTACTGCCTCCTATGTACTCTTTTCATATTGTGTGTATCGTAACTGATTATATTTGTTTGGAGAGTAATCTAGTCATTTTATAACAGAAGGAATATTGTGATGGACTTACTATACACATATTCCTTTTCTGCATACATTGCAATTCTTTATGTAATTTTTGGTGCACATTTCTTTATGTAATTTTTTGGTGCACATTTCTTTACGAAATATTTGGTGCACATATTTTTGTTACTCTGAAATGTTACTTGAAACTTTTCTCTCAAGATGTAGAAAATATGATTTTACAAGTTAGTGAACAAGACTTTCTAGTTGTCACATGCGTATAGCATTGTTGTCTTAAAACATGTACAAAAATTTTGAGGTTTTATTAAATTATTTCTAATTTAGTTTCTTGCATATCACATATCAATAGAATTACTGTTATTGAATTTGTTCTTTACTTTGTGTTGTAAAATTAAAGTTAATTAATTAATTTTCTAAATATTATTTTATTTGTGAGACTGTAAAGCATATATCTCACAGGATGCCAGAATTCCATGACTTGTCTTTTTTATTGAGTTTGTCTTGTTATTTCTTTGGTTGAGTTTGTCTTGTCATTTCTTTGGTTGTGTTGTAATATTACCAACACTGTTACTGGAGGAAGATATAAATTATTTTTTAGAATTCATTTAAAGTAGAACCACCAACAAGAGAAAAAAATGGTGTGGAGGCTATATTTTTAAGTCAGGAACCCTGGCCCCTTTGTCACAGACCCCCTTGCTTGATTCTAAGTCACTCAGATACATTATATTATAATGTAGTTATAAGAAAATATTTTAAACTAAGGTATGGTGATAAAAGAATTCCTTGAAATGATCAAACCTGAAGAGAAATATTATTTCTGTATTTAACTCGTGTGACTCAATTAGCATCAGATTGGAACCATAAATATAACTTTTGTAGAAGGCTGCCTAATGACTATTCTTGTGAAGTTTGGTCAAAATCCACCTTTCTGCTACACATTGCGATATATTAATGGATAAAGACAGACACAAAAGAGCTGAGAAGCATCATTGCTGATTGGTTAACATATCAGACTAGTAATCTATGGATCTCTAGCCACATGGGTCCAAACCCCGTCGGGTGAAAGTTGTTGCTTCCTTGAGCAAGACACTTCACATTCATTGCTCAGTACAGGCTGATTCAAACTTATAGCTTCCTACATAATCAAACTTTAACAAGATATGTTTGTAAAACATGTATGCCCCCTATCAGCAGCCAATTAGTCATGTGATAAGGTTATAATGCATGACTTCTGACCCAGTGATCAAACAATTAATAAGGGTTATAAAGTATCTACTGGTCATGACTTTGACCCCTTGACCCAAAACTCAATAGGGGTCATCTGCTGGTCACGACCAATCATCATACAAAGTTTGAAGTTCCTAGGCCTAGGCGTTTTTAGTAAATTGATCAGAAACCGTTTTTACCTACAGTTCAATGTGACCTTGACCTTTGACCCCTTGACCCCAAAATCAATAGGGGTCATCTGTTGGTCATGACCAATCACCATGCCAAGTTTGAAGTTCCTAGGACGAACGTTCTTTAGTTATTGATCAGAAACCGTTTTTACTTACAAGGTCATTGTGACCTTGACCTTTGACCCCTTAATCCCAAAATCAATATGAGTAATCTGCTGGTCATGGCAAATCACCATACCAAGTTTGAAGTTCCTAGGCCTAAGTGTTCTTGAGTTATTGATCAGAAACCGTTTTTACTTACAAGGTCAATGTGACCTTGACCTTTGACCCCTTCACCTAAAACTCAATAGGGGTCATCTGCTGGTCATGACCATTCATCACACAAAGGTTGAAGTTCCTAGGCCTAAGCGTTTTGAGTAAATTGATCGGAAACCGTTTTTACCTACAAGGTCAATGTGACTTTGACCCCTTGACCCCAAAATCAATAGGTCATCTGCTGGTCATGACCAATCACCATACCAAGTTTGAAGTTCCTAGGCCTTAGGGTTCTTTAGTTATTGATCGGAGACCGTTTTTACCTAAGAGGTCAATGTGACCTTGACCTTTGACCCCTTGACCCCAAAAATCAATAGGGGTCATCTACTGATCATGACCAATCACCATCTCAAGTTTGAAGTCCCTAGGCCTAAGGGTTCTTTCATTATTGATCGGAAACCGTTTTTACCTACAAGGTCAATGTGACCTTGACCTTTGACCCCTTAACCCCAAAATCAATAGGGGTCATCTGATTGGTCATAACCAATCACCATACCAAGTTTGAAGTTCCTAGGCCTTAAGGTTCTTTAGTTATTGATTGGAAACCGTTTTTACCTACAAGGTCAATGTGACCTTGACCTTTGACCCCTTGACCCCAAAATCAATAGGGGTCATCTACTGATCATGACCAATCACCATACCAAGTTTGAAGTTCCTAGGCCTTAAGGTTCTTTAGTTATTGATCGGAAACCGTTTTTGCTTAAAAAGTCAATGTGACCTTGACCTTTGACCCCAAAATCAATAGGGGTCATCTACTGATCATGACCAATCACCATACCAAGTTTGAAGTTCCTACGCCTTAAGGTTCTTTAGTTATTGATCAGAAACCGTTTTTGCTTTCAAGGTCAATGTGACCTTGAACTTTGACCCCTTGACCCCAAAATCAATAGGGGTCATCTACTGGTCATGACCAATCACCATACCAAGTTTGAAGTTCCTAGGCCTTAAGGTTCTTTAGTTATTGATCGGAAACCGTTTTTGCTTTCAAGGTCAATGTGACCTTTGACCCCTTGACCCCAAAATCAATAGGGGTCATCTACTGATCATGACCAATCACCATACCAAGTTTGAAGTTCCTAGGCCTTAAGGTTCTTTAGTTATTGATCGGAAACCGTTTTTGCTTAAAAAGTCAATGTGACCTTGACCTTTGACCCCAAAATCAATAGGGGTCATCTACTGATCATGACCAATCACAATACCAAGTTTGAAGTTCCTACGCCTTAAGGTTCTTTAGTTATTGATCAGAAACCGTTTTTGCTTTCAAGGTCAATGTGACCTTGAACTTTGACCCCTTGACCCCAAAATCAATAGGGGTCATCTACTGGTCATGACCAATCACCATACAAAGTTTGAAGTTCCTAGGCCTTAAGGTTCTTTAGTTATTGATCGGAAACCGTTTTTGCTTTCAAGGTCAATGTGACCTTGACCTTTGACCCCTTGACCCCAAAATCAATAGGGGTCATCTACTGATCATGACCAATCACCATACCAAGTTTGAAGTTCCTAGGCCTTAAGGTTCTTTAGTTATTGATCGGAAACTGTTTTTGCTTTCAAGGTCAATGTGACCTTGACCTTTGACCCCTTGACCCCAAAATCAATAGGGGTCATCTACTGGTCATGACCAATCACCATACCAAGTTTGAAGTTCCTAGGTCTAAGGGTTCTTTAGTTATCACTCGGAAACCATTTGGTCTACGGACCGACAGACCGACGGACCGACAAGTGCAAAGCAATATACCCCCTTTTCTTCGAAATGGGGGCATAATAAATTCAGTATAAACTATACCAAAAACAACAAACTTTTTTGTAAATAAATCTCTTTATTACATGATAACATAAACGGAAATATTAGTTCATGTGTTTTTTTTTTATATGAATAATAATAATACATTTAATTTTTTTAAAAATAAAATTTCTGTTGTTTTTTTTTTTCTGTAACATGAAATCATCAGAAAATTTTTAATGTGTAAACTTCTCAATTCTGTTTCTGAAGTTAGTTTAGTTTCGTATATTTTGGAATATTAACCTACCAGTTAGCTAGCTCTAAGCCAACTTGGAGGGATAAAATAAGTCACTCCATCCCATCCAATATCTAATTTGAAATGCCCAGCTTTTATAGGCAAATAGTTTCAGCCTTACTATAAACTCACTTTAGCAAAGGTGATTTATGGACTTAAAAAACTTGTTTGAAACTAATAAGCTAACATTTCTTTTCATTACAATTAACTTAAAAAAATTCTTAAATCCACTTGAAATAATTTCTATTTTGGATGTTAATTGTAACAATTTTATATTTTTAAGATGCTAGAAATTCTATTTGAAAATACATGTAATCAATAAACTTAAAACAAAAATTTCAAATCCGCACCACGATTTCAATTAAAGCCATGTCCAAACACAGAACTTTCTTTTTTTGAGTATATATTCTATATCATTTGGGAGAAAAATATACATATATTTATATCTTCTTATTAAATCTTGATATTTATTTAACATATAGTTATGTAATATCATTTTATAAATATTTTACTTACACTGGCCTGCATGAATATTATATTGGTTAAATCTTTAATACAAAAATGGATTAAAAATAAAATCTACCAATAAAAGCACATTTTGATTCCTGTAAAAAGAAATGTCATTATTTTAAATACATGTATCTATTTCTGAATGCACATGGCATAAAATTATACAATATATATGATAATTTGTTAGTCTATCTTTAATATTAAAATCAATCTGCTTTGGGATAAGTATTTTGTAAACCTACAATTCTATACTCGGAAATGGTATACATATTTGTATATTAATAATAGTTTTATATGAATTAAAGACCGTTCAATACTGATAAAAAGACAGAAAAAGAATTGTTTAAACAATATGGCTTTACAACTCATTTCATTTTTTACAAATGACAGAATGCAAAATTGCTTGAATACAAGGCTACGGCAGTTTCTTATATTCTATAAGTTCTTTACAAAAATATCTTTATTTGGTATCAAACTCTAAAGAATGGACTTGAAGCGAAATTATCTGATTTCTTTTAAACTTAAAACAAAGATACTTTATTAATTACATTCCCCAATTATTTTCATAAAGTAAAATTAACCTTGACATAAATTAGAATCTTGTTTATTCCAGAACATTTATACATGTACAATAAAAAGGTACCCTTTAGTAAGAATTGAGTAAATAAGGTCTGGATAGATAATCACAGACCCTTGTGAACAAAGGTACAAATTAAAATCGAATAATCATCATTAAAATATTCATGAATATAGAGATTTTTTTCTTGATTTGATTAATTGATTTTTTTTTTCATGATTATTATAATAAACTTTATTTTTCTATATAATATATATATTTATAAATATGCATAGTGTTTTGTAATTTCATATAAATCTATGTACAAAATGAGTTGTATACAAAATATAACGTATTAACAAGTTAGTAACAACTTATACAGTTTCATTGCACATTTAAAATTTGTTAACAAACAATTTTTTTTTAAACATTAAAAAAAAATGTCAACATTATCTGGAACAAACAATAAGGTTATTCTTTGTTCCAGAAATTACAAAAATATATATAATTATGTATAAAAAAGTTTGCCAAAACAGGAATGTAAGGGCAATAGTTTGTTAAGGTATCAAGTAAAGGTAGTCATTTTGTTTCTTATATATTTACAATTCAGGGATGACCGTCTCTGAGAAAAAAAAAGAAAATTATGTCTGTTCTAAACCTAAAGAAATACGAACAGACAGTCCATTTATATCCCTTGTTTGCAACTAAATTGGCAATACAAAGTAATCCAATTTAGCAAGTCTAGTGAAATAACAAAAATATAAATTTAATGAAAATTATTTCTGATCTGTTTTGATACCATGAATTTTTTTTTGCAAAATTCCAACACATTTCATAAAATAGAATAATGACTTTCTTGGCAAAACCTTTACAAAAAGTACATAAAGTTAAAAAAGACACAAAAATTATCTTTTTCCATGCCATTTACAAAACTGGAATGCAGTTTATAAGTATTATTGGTCCGTAATTTTTGTATAATAACAAAATGTTACTGTTAATGTGATATACTTGATATGATATGGGTACATGTATAATGTTATGATATGAATCCACTGAATGTAGAACAGTCTATGATATGATTATATTTTTCGATGTGACCTTAACTTGACCTTTAGTTTCCTTGACGATCTATATTTAACTCCATTCAATAAGATTCATTATTAAACTTTTTCACAAATTTTATCGCCAATTTTCTTTCATATTAGTTTCAGAATTTTCTGTCGATACACTTATACTTTTGCTGAGTTCTGCTTAAGTTATGTCATCACAGATTCAAAATTCTTCACAATTTTCTGGATAAATGTTTTCATACGGGTACTTGTGTTCCAAGTTCTTCACAAATATTTTTTCACATTTACATGTATTATCTTAAATTCTTGATTGAATATAATGAATATATTTTATTCTGACAATATACTGGCCTATATTCACAACCTATCTTTCTCCACCGTATTTCAACGTCCTTCAATGATTTTCTTCTGGTGGCTTTTATGCGGGAATAATCCATAGTACATAGCAATACTTCTTGTTAAAAGGTAGGTCACATGACATTCAGTTGGGTCACATGATAGTTTAATATTTTTTTTTTAAAATGTATGTGTTCTTATGACATACAATGTCATGTGTCACATAGATGGATATATGACTCACTTCATAGTCACATGACTGGCTCATTGCATGGTCACATGACTTACTCATTGCATAGTCACATGATCAACACATCGTTAAAATGCAGACACATGGTAACATGACCAACATTAAGTCTTATGATTTAGTGTAGATCACACAAAGATTGGTTCTTCATCATTTATGCCAGTGCGTCGCTTTGACAGGAACCTGCAAAAACAAGAGTAAATAATAAATATCACATTACTATGACAATCTTGTAAAGCAAATATGGAACAACACAAATTTTTATAGTTCATACTAAAGGCATTCACAAAATATTTCATTATAACAACTTAATTTCAAAATTCTCATTGACGTTAACATTTGTTAGAAAATTCTTACATAATTATCACAAGCTAAAAATGAATAAATTTGTTTGAGGTTGAAGTTTTTCGTGTATATTTTTTCCCAATGTATTATTATTATATACATGTAGAGTTGATCTAGCACAAATATGTCTATTGTATAAAATTATCATGCAAAGGGTACACATTGGATGTAAATTTGGACAGTTTGGAGCATGCAAAAAAATTACTTGCCCAAATTCAATATTTTTACATTGTATATACATTACATTAAGACATTGTACACAGTTGTTAAATATATTTGTATAGCTTTTGAAATGTCAAAATTCTTGTTTTCTGCAATGTATTCAATTTCCAACTATTTACAAATAGACCTGTGACCGTGCGCTCAAGTGGTTAATGCATCAGACTCGGGCAATCTATCAAACCAATGAGGGGCAAGCCATTGTTTCGTCAGCAAGAAACTTTACACTTATTGCTTAGTACTGGCTGGATCCAGGAACAGATTCGAGACTGTTTCAATAAGCTTATACAATGTAGCTTTATCAAACACTTTCAACTAAAATAAACTATTATAAACAAAATAGACCTGTATTGTTCATGACTAAGGACAACAACAGAGTGAGGTATTAAAAGGGTGTACACACATCAAGGTGTAAAGGAAGTGTGACATATTTTGATGGTAAAAACACTCATTTCAATCCGATCCTATCCGTATTTGTAACATTCTCTTTTGCTTTAAGTAAATCATTTCTATGTGTTATAAGTTAAGCCTATATCATTAAGTCTATTTTTAACATTCAACATTGTATTCTTGAGTTTATTAGATCATTTTTTTATGAAAGGCTCCTTAAATGAGACATAAATGACCCTTTGTTAGGGTAGGGCTTTTATGTTGGAAAATTATCAACCTGTCAAATGTTACCCTGCTCCATAGCAAAAAACTTTTAAAACATCAAACACCTGGTAAAGCCCCTGCATTGCGGGCAAGTAAAATAATCAAATTGTTTGGCCCAAAAACAAGACTTCCTCAATGACTTTGCAGTGCAGGAATAGACAGGAGGAAAATTCTTGCTTCTTGCCATCACCCAACTAGATTGCTAGGTATGCTAGGGTAACAATTGACAGGTCATTAAAATAATCATTCATATATGGACATACATAGTGCTAGCTAACAATATCTTATTCTAAATTGGATGCAATATACACAATGTCATATACATTATATTATTATATTTGATTTTGGATGAGCAAAAGGGCAACATGTATATATAATTTATCACATGATGTTGTGTGTTTTCAAGGTTCTATAACCAAATACATATTTATTACTAAATATATCGCTACTCCCATTAAAAAAATAAAAGTAAATTGTCAAACAGTGATTTTTGCCAGAATTTCTTTCCTTGAAAATACCATGTGATAAAGGGAATCTTACATTTATTGACATTTTGTATAGATTTACATAAAACTTGTCCCCCAAAATGTTTCATTGCTTGCAATAGACTCTCAAATCTCAAAACTTTCCAAGACTCGTTAAATGTAAATCTACACAAAATGACAAGTTAATGCAAGATATTTTAATTTGTCACCTTAGAGCAGAAACAAGGTAACTCAGATTTTATCTGAGTTAATCTATTACTGCACTAAGGTGACAATATAATGTATATTGAATAATGTAGGAACATTGATTGCAGGAAAGAGATGGAGTAAAGTGTGTATATAGGTGAAGTTACGTTAGCAATACCTGTGATATGATGGCTAAGTTAAAAGAAAGTCAACAAAATGATTCATGAATGTAAGACATCTTATGTTTTTCAGTAAATACTAGTCGAACTCTTACCCTTTCTTGCCTGCTTGATTTAATTACAATTTATAAGAAAAAGTTAAGTTCTAATAGATAAAATATTGTATATTATAAATCTGTTAAGTCTATATTAGGTACAAAACAAATTTTGTCTATTAAAATTTTGTCGTAATGTTTGCCTGAATAAGCAGAACAATAGTAAATCCAATTTCAAATCAAACCAATCCAATTTCATTAGAAACTATTTTTCTTTACTTTTACAATAATTTCATTCTTTTTTTCTTTTTTTTGAAAAAATAATTTCATTCGAAAAGATCCACTTAAGATATAAACCATTTTATTCTTCATGAACATAAAGAAAAATTAATAAATCAAATCGTAATTTTACAATTACCATGTGATTATATAGAAATATTCTACTACTCTTTGTTAGGTTTACTACTGCAAAATTGATGTAATTTCTTTAAATCAATTACAATATTATAATTCACACAATTAAGTGATGATAAATATAGATATATATGTGTGACAAAAAAGTTATGAAACCTAAAACCGGGAGGGTTCCTTTAACATTGAAGAATACAAACTTTAACTAATAGAAATAAATAAACCAAATACTTGAACCAAGATGCACCCATTGTACCATACATTCAATACAGAGGAATCAAAGCACAGGTATAAACATATATTTACATGATACTGACCTTATGTAGATGTTTTTTGCCAAAGTTTCTGATTTCTAACATCAGTTGTTCTCTCGGATCTAATTCCCGCTCAAATCTCTTCTGCTTGGGTTTCGAATATTTTGCGTCTGCTTTGGAAGATTTTGGTTTTGAGGTTACAACTGACGGAGGTGGAGGAGGGGCGGCAGGAGCTGCAGGAGGTTCTGAAGTACTTAGCACCTTAATATGACCCCTATCTTCCTCCGGGGAAGATGGTCTGTATTTTTCATTGTCTTTTGTAAAAATTTGTGTGCTAGGAGGTGTTTGTTGGGTTTGGAATGTTCCCGTGGCAACAAGAGGTTGATTAATGGTTTGTGGGAATGTTTGGAGAGTGTTTTGTAAGGCTAAAGCCTGCATGCTCTGTTGCAATTGTAACATCATTTGTTGCTGCATTTGAATCTGCAACTGCAGCTGTTGTAACTGTAAATTTGATTGGTCGTCCTTTCCTGCCATTTGATTGGTCGAAATTTCTGAAGCACCCTGGGAAGCTAAAAGTTTTTGATTCTGAACAAGCTGATTCTGCCACATAGAAAACTGTTGTTGCATCTGATTATATTGTGCTTGCATAAGATTGTTTGAATCGAAACTATCATCTTTTCTAGGAGTTGTTTCATGCGAAGATGTGGCTGGTGAACCAGACAACAATATTTTTGTGGAAGAAGCATATGTATCTGATGGAGCACCACTTATATCACTACCTGAATTTTTAACTGGAGTTCTTTCAGCTGGAAGATTTATCATGGAAATAGATTTTTCCTCCAGCATGTGCTCTGCCTCCCCTTCATAGTTTGGTGAGAAACTCAGTTCTGAACACTTTGTTTTTGCACCACTGTCATAATCAGAGTTTTCAAGTTTATCACTGAACACTGGTTCCTCATTGACAACAGTTGCTGGGACAGCTTTAATTAAGTCCTCAGCCTCATAATCTAAATCTGCAGAACTACGAAACTCTATTCTATAATTAACCTTTGGCACGTCACTGGAATCACTCCGCTGTTTCCTTTGTTCATTTGGATTTGATGCACTGAAGTCAACATTTGACAACTCGTCAAAAGTGAGTACAAACTCCTCTTTTTCTTTCGGCTTTTCTTCTTCCGCAGGCTTTTCATCAACGTCACTTTCATCATCAGAGATTTTCACATTTGTATCAATTGGAATCTCCTCATAATCTGGAAGAGAAAGAACTTTATGTTCCTTTGGTGAATCAAGGTCAGGAATTCTTCGAGGGCTGTCCAGCTCGAAAACTCTAGGATCAGCTGGTAAAATTACGGTTTCCTCAAACATGACACCTTGGTCTTCCTCTTCACCTTCATTGTTCTGGAAATCAGCTGGTACTGCATCTATTGTGAACTCATAGGTAATCTCTGACGATTCTCGATTACCCTGAGACGCCTTTGTTGTAACTTCTGCATCGTCATCATGTATGATGAAAGAATGATCGCTATCCTCCGCCTGGAATCAAAGCAAAGGTTGTTGTTAATGCCACAGATATCATCGCGTTATCCACAACTCTTTCGAATATCTGGGCATTTTTAACATGACGGGATTGGATCAATGTATAATATATGAAATCAAAAAAGTGTGTACAGAATGATATGAAAATAATTTAAAATTTCCTCGAGACCAAAAACATAATTATTTTAAATTACTAGATTTTTTAATTTTTAAATACATGTGCTACTGATTAACAACAAGATCTTGACTTGTATTGTACAAAAAAAGACTATATTTAATCAGTTTAGTGAATGCTTTCTATAATGAGATTGAATGTACACACCTTTTCATTCATATTCACATTTGTCACAAGTTAGCACATTGCTTGAAAATCATAAAAATTTTCTTAGGAACTTGAGAGGGTTCTGATTTCATAGCAAAGGATTGACAATATATAAAAGCAGAGAGTATGGGATTGTGTGGTATTCATACATAAGGTAAAATAAGGTAAAATTAAAATTTTTAACCCATAACATAATTATGACGATGGTGTATCAGATTTAGCGCCGTTGAACAAATTACTGTGAAATGTGCTTCTGCAAGAATCTTGCCTGCTTCTTTCAAACACAGAACAACAGTAATGGATTGACGAGGAACAAAACAACTTTAAATTTTTTTGACAAACCATAACAATATATACTTAAACAAGACACAATCCAATAGTTTGGCAAGCCAAACACTTTGTCTCAATGGTTCTAGACAAAATTGTCATGACATGGACTTGACTGCGTAACAACAGAAAAACCTTTGACCTGTTCCCTAAAGTAACGATACTTGACAACCAAACGGTTTCCTGTGATACGAACAAACATACAACCTTAAAATGATCTACTAACCTGTTCCGACACCTGTGACCTACTTGACGGCTCACTGTCTTCAGCGCCATCTTGTGTCAGTTTGGAAATACTTTCTTTAAACTCGGGCATTGATCTCTTCAGCTCTTCTGAAATAGTGAAGAAAGAAAATGCAAATATTGTAAAATGGTACGGAACAAAAACCTTTTCTGAAATCAAAGGAATAAACAACAATGTAACAACAAAACTCAATTCGTAAGTAACAACAAAAATAATAATCACATCAATTAAGATTTGCTGTTGTCTCTGTAAAATTATCGGTAAGCCTATAAAAGATTAAATGAAAATATAATAGTAGTCCTATCAATATTTAATCCTCAACATTAAGGTTTTGATTTTTAAAATTAACAGTATTTTGATTTTTAAAATTAACAGTATTTTCAAAGAAATAATGACAAAGTTTGTGACAAGCCCTGACAGTTTCAAAACACAAATTATAGTCTATGTAAGACAATTGACATAGTATATATTTAAGGATGTTATCTCACAACATGTACTATGCTTTATAGAAAATAAGGCATAATTAATGACCAAAAAGAGCACAATTTCAAAACATTACCTACATTAAATCATGAAATAAAAGTGAGACATTTTGGAATATTATTCATCTACTTTGCATATAAACTTAACTTTACCAGATACATGTATTTTTAATACTTAATCTGTATTTGATGTACAATACACTGCAGCAAAATTCCTACTTAAATGAAAAATTGATCAAAATAAGTTAAATACACAAATGTTATATCTTAAAATAAATCATAACTACATATTTTTATATATATAAAACATGCTCTTAAAGTACAAGCAAATAAAAAATATAAATTGACATGCATTTTTAACATCATCTCAAGGTAAAATCGTACATAGATGTACATAGAAGTTGAAGAAAAAGAAGAAATAAAAATCTAAATCAAGGTATAAAGCTAGAAAGTCATTTGATATAACTAGAAGTAGAAATGAGCCGCGTCATGACAAAACCAACATAGTGCGTTTGTGACCGGCATGGATCCAGACCAGCCTGCGCATCCGCGCAGTCTGATCAGAATCCATGCTGTTCTCTTTCAGTTTCTCTACTCGTAATAGGGTTCGTAGGCAAACAGCATGGATCCTGATCAGACTGCATGAATGCGCAGGCTAATTTTGATCCATGCTGGTCGCAAACGCACTATGTTGGTTTTGTCATGACGCGGCTCAAATATCATCTAGTAAAAAAACAAAATCTATCTAGCAGAAATGTCGGGATCTAATCACCCACTAGCTATAAAAGCTTTTAAAAATCTAATTAACTATTTAACATAAAGTAGCAATAGCTCTTGTGTAAATCTATATTCTTTCTTTGGTGCTTTTTTTTTTTCTTTATTCATTTTGTTTTGTTGGGGCTGTAAGTTGTGGTATTACCATTAAGTTATTTAGTGAGTTTCATGATGTTTTCATTTTAAAATCAATGGAAGTTTAAATGTTAAAATTTATCCCAATGGCCAAACTACCTGGGAAATTACATTATAGTAAGTAAAATCATTAAGACTTGACAACCCCAACCTTTTCTGTCATACAGTAGAAAAAAAATCAAAAGAAAATAACAAGGGGAGAATTTTTGTATGATACCATTTGTATAATTTATGACACTGTATCTGACACCATACATTTATAGAATATGACACCAAAAGGACACTGTACATTTATAAAATGAGGAATGTCGTATAAAAGAGATCAGTGTACAGATAATGTGACGATTTATAATTTACCCATGCGTTTTGAAGAAGGAAGTAATGTGAATTGCCATACATTATCAAACCATGCCATTATCTACATGTATTATGGTGGTAAATACCGGTATATAAATAAATTACAGTTTTAAATACCATTATAGGTTTATAACAAAGTTTATCACAAAGTTTACGCACACAGTCACCACTGCACAAAAGTGTTCTTAAAATTTTGTTATTTTCTTTGCGTTTACAATAATTTTGTAAAGAAGCAAGGAAAAATTAACGTAATTCTATAAAAAGTTTATACTCAATGACTTCTGATTATTTTAAAACAATGTTATATTCTTAGAAAAATCATTAAATACTCGATAATGCTCGTACAATATTTCTTTTTTAAAACATAAAAGTAATCAGAACTTCATATTTACTGGTATATATATAAAAAATTCAAATTAAGAAGGAAGGGAAAGACTTTTCTATTCAATCAATTAGCATATACACAAAACAAGACTGTAAATACAAAAAGATAAAATAAAGACGTCTAAAACAATCTAGCGAAGAACTAAACAAACAAGAAAAAAAGTTGGTAATAGATATAAAAATACAAAACACAACATCAACATAAAATATTGATGTTGAAATGTGAGTTACACTCTAAAACTAGCTGAAAAAACCGAGAAGTTTGTTAAATATTTGGTGACAAACGACCAGACTGGCCCACTAGAAACTTTGTAGACTGATTCTCTGTTAGAAGCAAGCACTCTGCAGCAAGCTGATTCATGTGATCACCATGTCATTACATAACAACAACAAGAGTACCTGTAACTACACTCTTAAAAAATTCAAAGTTAAAAGAGCTGCATAACTCCAAAAATATTGCTTTCAGAATTATGCCCCTTGTCTAACAACTGCACCTTTTCCTATTCAAAACACTTTAATTTTTATAAAAATTACTTCAATGTGCAGGAGTGCATCTTTCACTTAATTTAAATTAATCAATTTTCAGACAAAAAAAGATAACCACAACAATCTGACATCTTTTGCATGAATCAACTTGCTTCTAAACCAGTCTACAACTTTGAGGTACATTTGGAATACCTTTAACACTATCATTATCTGAATCAATGCCTAGTGCTTCCTCCCCCGCCTCTATAGTTTGTGCAAAAGCGAGACTCAAGTCCTCGAGGGTGTTAATCGAGGAATTACTTGATCTGCTACCTCCTCGTCGAACTGTTAAAAGTTGAAAACATTAACACCATTGTTTTTCTCACGGTACCACTACAATCTAAGATCAGGACTAAAATATTACCTGATCAAAAGGGCATTCACATGCACAGTTCTAGACCATTCGTAGTAAGAGTATTCCAGGCTCATATATTTTACCCCTCAAGGCTCATACATAATATGCTAGACACATCATTTCAAGAACAAATTCAATGAAAAATTTCTTTGATAAATCTTCAGATCATTAATATTTCTCTATTCCCCAACTCCCCACCCCCACTCCCCGAACAACTCCACCTTTCCCCAAGAAAATGCTATAATGTTTTTTATCTGATGTCCCTTTTTGTGTGCCATACATTTTATTTTGAAATGATGTATCATTCTATACAATGTCTCTTATAGTACACCATACTTTTACAGAAGATGCATTTCAGAGTAGATAAGAATTATAAACCTAAACATGGAAAGCTTAGTATATTTAGAATACATTCCTATAAAGATAAAGTTACAAATTGTTGTTAAGTTTTGAGGCAAGTTATTTCACACTATGCATGAGCAACTTCTTTACATACAAAATTACAAAAGATAGATATAATAGGCTTACTGAAGACAGAGCTATTATTTGCAATTTCAACAGATTTAAAGTTTTAAAGTTAAATGCATTCATGCATCATATGCCCTTTTCTCAGGATAAATGTCTCTTGTGAAGTAAAATGTCACAGAGTAGCTTCTTAGGCTTCAATGACAGAAGTAGACCTTAAGAATGAACCTTTATATGCATTTGTTTTACTATTTGTAGTCTAAACAAGTCTCTTAGTCACATGACAACATAAATTTTAGGAATTTCACAAAGAAAATTTGTAGACTTTGTCTGAACAAATGGCCTGGATAATTTTGTACCCAATTGTTCAAATACTTTCAAAATTTTGGACATTACTTTCAAAAGACACTTTAATTTACATCCCCTCTTCCGACCCATCCCTTGCTGCATTTTCATCCTTATTCTCTTATTACCTTCATAATCCAGAATAAATGCAAATAGCCTGGGAAAATATTCACTGTATAATCTGTTAGAATGTTCACTGTACAATATAAAGGATACATGAGCATGCAGCTAATATTACCCACTGATATATAATATTTTATATGTATATTTTATTATATACTGTGTACTGTCAAAAAAGGATGAATTCATGGGGGGAAAAAAAGAAGAAAATTTCATAAAAATTTGCATGTTTTTCATGAATATCCTGTTAAAAATAGCTATCTTCCGCAATTTAATCTTGTCCCAAAAAAAAATATAAATAAAGAATCACCATAAAAGTCTGACCCATCTCTATACTACTTGCTGCTTAAATTACTTAAATTAAGTATTTAAATATAGAAATCCTTTGTTAAATATAGAAATCCTTTGTTAAATATAGTAACAGACGTAAGAGTCTATGATCGAGGTACAATGCCGGATCTCATGCTAATCCCAATTTTCAATCACTTCTTTGTTTTCCCATTTATGCCACACCCCTTTTTTTCAGTTTTTGTCACACTACATGTATAATTATGATAGTTTTCAGAGTGCTGTAACCAATAATTGCACCGGAGTAATCTATTTCTTCAAAAACTAATATCAAAAGAAATTCATCCTTTTTTCCGACAGTAACAGTTTCCCTGTTATAAACATGTTAGTATATGTGCCTTATATGTTCAACATTTCATAAACAGTACTATAACTGTCTGAGTATTTTTTTGTTTTGTTTTTTTAAGATACATGTAACAAAAATAAAGTTTACAGAAAGCATTTTTCATACAGTCCCATGCTACATTTAAAGGAGAAAGATTCCAATATTTAAATTAGGAAATATTCATTCAGAAAACACCAACTTATATAGCACAGACAAGTACAAATTAACAAAGAAATTCAAGGCCATGCATACTTGAAATGATACAAAAAATTTATATTTTTGAAATATTAAATAAACTATTTTTTTTTTTCATCTCAATCATAATTTACAAGTTGCTTTTTTTTTCTTCAAAATTTATACAAAAATGTTCAACACTTTTATATTAGTTTACTCGAACAAAACTAGTTTCTTGGTTTTTGTATATAATGTATATCAGAGTAAAGTAACAATGTAACAAGGTAAGAAATAGATACATACTTGACATAGGTGAACTCTTTGCACTGTTAGGGCCTGAGCTAGTCGTGTCTTCACCAACACCTTAAAACATACAAAAATATAAATGAGCCATGTCATGACAAAACCAACGTAATGCGTTGGCGACCAGCATGGATCCAGACCAGCCCGCGTTCGCTATCAGTTTCCCTACTTGTAATAGGGTTTGTAAGCGAACAGCATGGATCCTGATCAGACTGCGTGGATGCACAGGCTGGTCTGGATCCATGCTGGTCGCAAACCCATTATGTTGGTTTTGTCGTGACGCGGCTCATATTTCGAGGGTTTCCTCCATCATGTTGAATTGTTCTTGGACAAAATATATAGGGACAAGCAAGTAACGACTTAATTATAAAGCGGTCTCGTATTAAGTCTGTTAACATAACAAATTACATTGACAAGTTTTCAAAACATCATGTTCAGACTATTTAAATACAAAATGAATATTAAAATCATACACCAGTTTTAAAAAATTTAATCAAGTTATAATTGGGATAAAACATTCATTATATAAGATTGACACATCACCACAGCCTGGCAAAACTGTAATATTAGTTGCTGGAATTAAAAATTTATTTACTATCTGTGTAAAGAACAAGTAAAATCAGGCGTATTTTTGTTCCTCACAAAGAAAAATTAGCACAAAACTTGTTGAGCTAAGAACAGAAACACCCCGTCAGAACAACAAAGTTCTGACAAAGGTACTCAATATATGAAAATATCTTTTTTTCAATTTACCAATATCAATTTTATCCACTTGGTTCACGACCATGTTTATATTGACTGGTTCCATATCATCTGGAGGCGGTTCTGTTGGAGGAGGCGGGGCTATAAATGTGGGCGGTCTCTGTCTATGTGACACATCAACATCAATATCCTCGCTGTGTATCGAGGAGTTCTCGACCATTCTCAGATCCTCGTCTTCATCTGAGTCGTCAATGTTAAACTTCATTGTAACTTCTTCCATAGCTTGTAATGCTTCAAATTCCTCCGCTATAAATATATATTTTTTTGTACATTAATATGCATTTATTCACCAGTAAAATGTGTGGCATAATTGGTGCACTTATGTTTTTCTCCGTGAAGAAGTTTAAGTCAGATGAAAATTTAACAATATTGAACTTGGATACTTATTTCTTTTCTTTTTTTGACTTTTTTCCTTACAATGCTTTGAATGAATATTTGGAGTGGGATGGTTTTAAACAGTGTCATAGATGATCCTTACATTTAACTGTTTTGGTTACAATTTACATTATATTTCTGAAAGTATAACAATTGTGAACAGATTTTAAATGCATATTCAAATAAAAGCATGTGAATTCTTTAAAAATCCCAACTTTTGTTTATTTCCGTGCAACTATATTTCTTCAAATAATCAATAAAGTGTATAAAATCATAGAAAACAAAAAATGTTAGAGAGAAAAAATATGTGCCAAGAAAAACAAAAAAGTTAAAAATGTTAGACGAAGCCATACCTTTTTCTGCATGATTTTCAGTACCTGCCCGTGGAGTACCTCGTGGTGATATTTTAGACTCACTAGTCTCTACACTACCTTCTGAAAGCAATGTGAAATCTCTAAACTCTACAAACCAAACAAAACTCTTCACCGCAAAAATGTAAAAAATTATACTACGGTTATAAATAAAAAAGAAAATTAAAGTGTATAAAGCTACATTACTGCTGTCTGTGTTGATTACATTGTGATTAAAATTATTAAAAGAATACCTAGACTGAAATACAATTGTCAGTATATTCATTTTGCATGCCAGAAATCAATGCCAAACCTACTAAAATAGCAGAATAATTCTTGTTTTGGAAAATCTCATTAATATGTTTACATACTTTATTTATGTAAGTAAAACTAAATAGGCTTTCTGTGCTACAAATCTTTCAAGAAACAACCATACGGTTATGAAAACAACATGATTTTGTTGTTTTTAAATTCTTATAAAATATATCATCAGAAATAGCTTTATACACTGAAATTCAAAAAAGAAAACATATCTTTTTTTCAAAAATTTAAATTTTAAGTCACACAAAACATTGTTATGATCACAAAATGACTTTAAGCTTCTCTGGTTCCCTGCACTTTATTATTTTTGGCCTGGGCAATAGCTGACAAATTTAGAGTTCCTAGTCTCCCATAATCATTGTAACTGAATGATCGTAACAATGTGGGCGTGACTTAAAATCCAAACACTCCCCCCCCCCCCTTGGGCACTTCCCACCCTAGCAAATTTGGTGTGTCTTAGTGTTATCAAAATTAGTTATAAATGATAAAAAACAATTCCAAACACATGCGTTTTATAAAGAAAGACCTCGAACATTTGAATTTTTGTTCTCGGCAATCAAAGTGATTTGTATTGCATATTACTTTCAAAGGCCTGTTTCATGCCTGCATACAAATATACTGTTGATTTAACCAATTTTTTCAAATAATATCTATTTACTGCTGTATATATATGGATGCAGTTTCCTAAATCTTCATCTTAAATTACAGAACTGGTTATTTCACAAAGTTATAATAAATGTAATGAAAAGCTGCACATGTTTTTTCTTCCTACTTTGCATTAAATAAAGGAAGGTCTTTTTCAAAATAACTTAAATCTTTTATGAAAAGACAGTTACCGGTATTTAATGTACTATAAAAAAAATAAAAAAATAGGAAATTTTATACCACTTTGTAAACAACTTTGACAAGACTTAAATGCTAACAACCTGCCTTAAAATGTATTTAATATCCCTGACTTCAAACATAAGAAATGACTTGTGAAGAGGAAAAAAACCATAATGTTCTATTGCTACCTAAAATACAGTAAATAAATACTGTCTAGATACATGTGTGTGCAGTATGTAAATTTTCAAATAAGGAAAGTCGCCAGTGAAAGGGGGATGGAAGTTATGCACTCTCTTGTCTTTTCCTGTATTACTATAAATATTTTTAGAGCTCTATGTTACAAAAATAAATAGCTAAATGGCATACTATAAATTCCAAATAGTGTTTTTGGTGCGAAACTTAAGCATGTGTACTATGTTTTATACAGTAGTGTTTATTGCTTAACACCTCCACAGCAGGTAAAATGTTTGATTTTTTTCCATTGATGTTATAGTATTTTTAATATGTAGGAGTGACCCTATTTTTAGATACGAGGACTAGTCCATTACGCCCTCCCATAACTCCCATTTTGTAAGCTGTTCTTTTTTCATAAACAATACCATTTAACAAATCTTTTTATACTTAAAACTGAAAGTCTTCACAATTTTTGTTAATTTTGGGAAATTAGAAATAACGCTTTCACCAAAAACAAAATAAAACTTTTCTCCTGAGTTAGTATTTCTGGGAGGAAATAGTGCAATAAATTGTTGATATTATAAATATTGTTTGCTAGTATCAAACCACTGCAAAAAAAAAATTAAAAAAAATAATAAAAAAAATTCCAAACTCCCAAAAGTTGTCTCCCTTACATACCTGTCATTCCTGGTGGTGGTAATGGAGCACGTTTCTTCTTTCTACCTAACGGTTTGTCAATATCTAAGCTCGAGTCTCGTGAACCTTCTTTGGTACCTTTACTTGCACTTCTACGATTAACTGGTGACATATCCCTAATTCCACTGTCACCATTAAAATGATCAGCACTGTCTATTGACGTTGTATCTATGGTCGTCTGTAAGTTATCGTTTTTGTTCGCGTCTGGTGACTCGGCACCGCTGACTGTAAGTTCATGATATCCACTAGAATCCGAACTATTCCTAGAATGATTTTTCTTTGAGTGAACACGTTCAGTAGGTATTTCTATTGTATTCTCCTCTGGTAGTTTAGAATGCACATCTATTTCCACTTGAACAGTTCGAGGCTGTGCTTTGTTCATTTGTGGAGGGGGAGGCGCTGCGCGTTTTTTGGCACTCTTTTTCGGAGGTGCGCCAGATGCGCTTAGTCTTTTGTTTTGTTTCGAGGAATTTACCTCCTGCGGTAAAGTATCACTTTTTGTCGAAAGAACACTATTTTCATTCACAGCCATCAAAGTTGAACCTGTACTTTTACGAAATTCTGCATTGTCTGAAAATTTATGTAAATCTCCGGTCGTTCTTCGTAGTCCAAAATGATCGAGTTCACTTGATTGATCATACATTGTCTTTGGACGACCCTGCTTGCTTTCAGCATCACGTCCTGGTCGTGTGTTAAAACTTTCAGACTTCTTAGGTCGGCTCTGTACCTCAATCTCCATGTCATGCTGTTGCTAAAATATATATATGAAAAAATTAAAACTACAAAAATTAAAACCTTATCTTATCTGTCTTAAGAGAGGGAATTAAATAAAATTGTCACTTAATTACCATGAAAAGAAGTCTTACTTTTGGCATTAAGAGATGATTACATTTTAAATTGACTGTTTTACATTGACTATATCTAAGCTTAAGTCAAAATCAAACTAATTCATAAGACAGATAACTAAGATGTTAACTTAATTTTACACAAGTAATATTTTCCTTCAAGAAAACAAGCAAGTTCCATCAGTATTGTACAGAGGAATTATTGGCCAAGTTGCTATTTTAAGTACCTTACAACTAAGGGTCTCAGGAATAACAAGGCCTAATCCTACTGGTATATATATATGCCAAGCAGACACAGAAATGGATTCTTTTTTTTCTAGAATAATTATCTAGCAGGACACTGTTTTAACTCAGTTGCTTAAAGATCAAAATATCACACTATAGAGCTACAAAAAAAGTGCCATTTGATCTGCTATCACTTTAAAATGTTTTAGCAGCAGACCGTCACTTAAAAATACTTACAGGTTTGAATTTTTTGTCTTTCTTCCCAAGGAAAGATAGGAAGCCACGTTTAGCTTTTTTCTCACCGGCAGACGGCATATATGGAGAATCATCTCTTGTTCCACTGGCCTCTTTATTTGATCGTGCTGCTGCAAATGCTAGGTCAGGCATCGATCTTGAACTAGCTGCTTCTATCATACCTGAAACAGGTGTAAAACATACATTAGTTAAATAATTAACTTTAATGCTGCAATATATAAACACTGAAACAGCAAAAATGATTGTCCAAACTTATTTTACTTCCATTATATCATAAAGTTTGTCGCCATTACCTGTTCTTACACCAATCGACTGACACTGGTAAAAACCGGCCTACTTTGGAAGCCAAATGTGGAATTTTTTGTTCATTTCACACAAGGTATATTTTATTCAAGCAAAGTCTGAATACATATGAATTTTTGTAGAAGACTGAGTTAGAACTGTTGGTGTGTTACTATATCCAAATTTCACAACATAGCCATTAAAGGAGACAATTTTAAAACCTAGCCATCAAGGGAGACAATTTTCCAATTTAGCAATCAAGGGAGACAATGTACGATTTCAACAAACTAGAAAATGTAACATTTCAAATTCAGGTATAAAGTGTATAAAGTGCACATAATTTATCTTTTATTTATGTCTTGGAATGCTAGTGGCATAATAAAGACTTTTCTGTACAGGAATTCTGGAATTACTGGATACAATGGCTACTCAATTAAAACATTTTAATGTCAAAGTTTCTTAAATTCAAAATTTTAAACATTACAATTCCATCACTTTATTTACAAATATGTTAAGGGTTAACAAATTTATATTTCATTAACAATATAAGAATCTCCAATCAGTAAGTTTGACCTTTTTGCACTAAAACTGTTGACTGTATACAATACTCACCAATTGAAACAAAGTTAATTTCACTGGATTTTAGATCTCCAACAGTCACAGAGTCGTCGAGGGAGTTGTTTGGGTTGCTTGGCAACAAGAACACGTATCGTGATGGGTCGAAATTCTTCTCTTTGCATATAAGCTGGCGAACTTCAGCAAGTGTTAACTTTGGACTAATCCTTAGCACTTTCTTTTGGTTATGAGGTAGATTAACCGTGAAACGGTATGTCATCTGTAAAATAGAAGAAATAAATGTTAATTTCATGGTTACTTTTTCCTGAAAAAGTTGACAGATCTGAACAGATTTCATCACTTGCAAAATATATATATGATATAATAACCATTAAACATGGGTTTATATGACCACAAGTAACAATTAAGCAATGACGTTGTAAAATCACCATTTTTTTTCCTCACACAAAAAGTCACATAATTAATTTGGAACATGAAAATAATGTCAGAAATTTATGATTAAATATGCATTATAAATTGAATATTTTCATTGAATTTTATATAAACCATGATGACATATAGGCAAATATCTTCATAAATTTCTGTGAGATGCATCTTGAGATATGTTGATAAATAGTCAATTGTGGTTTTTGACCTGAGTAACATGAAGAACAAAATAATATACAGAATATATCTGATAGCACCTTTGAATTATCACATGGTCATAGTAAATCAACATTTAATATAACAGTGTTCAATTGTGAGTGTTTGTGTAAATCTCAATATTTGCTGTGCAATTAATTTTAAGAATTGTTTTAAGAACATGTTGATGCTTATCTTTTCAAAATTATGACAATCTGGTGGTGAGAGACACTTTTTCTCAATATAGCCATGAAGCGAAAGAATTTTACAGTCATGAAGATAGACAATCTTAAATCTATCAATAAAGGAAGACAATTTCATAATCAAGCCATTCACAACCTAAGCATTAATGGAGACAATCTCACATTCTTGCCATCAAAGGAAACAATGTTACAATCTAACCATCAAGGAAGATAATTCACAATTTTATTATCAAGGGAGACAATCTTTTATCTAACCTTCAAGGGAGACAATTACACAACCTAGCTATGAAAGAAAATAATTTCACAATTGAGTCATCAAGGGAGACAACCTCTCATTTTCTTAACTATGTTACAATTCATCAGACCATCATGAACTCTCAAATCTTCACAATTAAAAGCACTTGCAACTGCTGTAAGTGTTTTATCTATTGTTGTATAGAGTGTACATTAAACTACCTCATTCATCAACCAACAATATACTTCCTCAGATATCACAATTAATCTGTAAACAAACAGTACTTAAAATTCATGTCTCGCTGTCATATCACTTGAAATTTCACACTTATATTGTAGCAGGACCTTTCTGAATAGATGTTGTTTTTGTTTGTTGTTTTTTCCTCTCCTGATTTTTACACTGATAACAAAACATTTTTGAACATATCTTAAGTGGTCTATCTACCTAAAGGGGCTTTCCTGGATAAACTAGATAACTAACCAGTAATTAGCAACTTCTTCCCAGTGACTGCTAATTTCACATGATTTTTGAATAAGTAGAGACAAATGACAATTATATTCATTCAATGTCAGATATCAGTTTACATGGTGAAATTACGCCTCATCCAAGTATCGAACCGGCGACTCCTAGGTTACTAATATGATGCTCTCCCTTTTGAGCAAAGCTAGTGAACTCAAAATAGATGCAAAAATAAGGGCTCAAATATCTGTGTGGAGCAGAGACACATCTCTTAGGTCTTGTTTTAGATATTTGTTTGTTTGATTAGGTTTTACGTCACACTGATACAGTATAGGTCTTAATTAAGGCGATGTTTCAGCTTTATCGTAGAGGAAGACATACATTATTTCAGGCACGAACAGGCACATGAGTGGATAGCTTCCCCGCATGAAAGAATCCAAAGTCTCTGTTGGGATTCAAACCCACAGTGGTAAGGGTTGTTTTAGATATGACGAGACTTGTATCACTTAGCTCAACACTAATCAAGCTGATTTTGTACTAAGAGAACTACTCAGCTCACAATTAAGAACTATATAATTATGCATAATAAATGCAAGATTGATGGATTTTAAGATCAATATTATAAATATAATTTAGCAATCAAGATTTTTGTAGTCTAGTTTAACTTTAAGCACATCAGTGCAAACTGGCATGGCTCCTTATTAGTGGCACATCAAATAATTATTACCTGTATCAATTATAGGGTTACAAAAAAATATGCTATTGTTATACCACGGTCCAGGTACCACAACAAAACAAAATACCATTTATTTCACACCCAATCTTCAATAAGTCAAAAGCTATTGATTTGCTACATTTGACACTTCATCAGTTCAATACAAACCAGTCTTTGTCTGTTTTATAACCAATTTTCACAAGAATCATTTCACACCAGCCCTACATTTTCCCTAATAATGTTTCTAATTGTTGTGTTGATTACTATTTGTAAGCTATTTTAGTCAACTCACGGTACCCACCCATGCTAAAAGTTTATTTCTTTTTCTCAGTGTTACAATCTTGCATATTCTAACAATTAAAGTTTTCTGTTAAAACAAGTCTCAACTCTTATTTTTGTTGTGTTGAAGTCAATGCGACCTTTCAGTATTTTCAGTTACCAATGAGTACTCTTAATAGGGCAAGTTCTTTGCTTAGAATGCTAAACAACACCAGAGGGGCTTACAAGTATGACCTGGCACAACAATAACCCCGACAGCTACACTTTCATTTCTAACAATGTATGAATTTCTTCAGTGCCAGAGAAAAACCTGTTCTTTTAAATTCTACACTAATCAAATATCAAATTTTATTTTCATTAATATTCAAATACTAAATTTTATTTTTATTAATATCATAACACAGAAAAATATATCAGAAAAGTATATCATATGAATGCTTACCCAGGCAGAACAACAATCCATCTTTAAGTTTATTATTGTTCGGTGAAATTTTATTTCACTGGAATTCCTGATTTAATATTTGATAAACATGACAATTTACTGGTGTCCGCTTTCATTTCACTTCATGACCCGTATGATTTTTTATATCCAATGCGGAGTACTAATATAAACCTCCATTGTATTTGCAACATACTTCCCTTTCAGTCACTCGATCCTGATCATCAGTTTATTTACATATTTCAAATTGTTTCTCTAGATGACACTTGAACATTAATAATAAACAACTGTAATCGTGTATTTTTAAATGCTTATCTATTTAAAATGTCGCCATTACATTAAAAAGAAAATGTCCGACTACTACAATAACACGATAATTGACATTTAATAAAAAATATATATCTTATCACAACATCAAGTCTTAGTGTAAAAGAAACGTACTACGGCATTGAAAGTATAAACAGTAATCTACACTTTTTAGACAAAATGTTTACAAAATTTGACACTTGTTCCATATTTCCCTAATTGAAGTATTAAAATATTTACATAAAACTGTGTTCGAACGATATATATATAGATATCATTTCACAATCCGTCTCGCACATTTTATGAATGCTTTAACTTAAATAGAGCGGACACTACAGTTGAAACAGTTCCAATGGAACGGAGACAATTTTATATAATCAATAAATCTATTATGACAATCTTGTCTAATGAAGGCACTGCATGTACACTTATTGAAACCACCCCGACACCTAACACTTCATCAAACAGCTATTAGTGTTTATGAAATAATGAAAATATATCTGTTACCATTCCACGATAAAACACTTGAACAGATAAAATTTGACACCATAAATTTTAAGACCAAATATTATCTAGCATGATCTCGTAACTTGTATGAAAAGATCGGAATTTCAAAAAATTGGAAATGAAAAATGCAGTCACTAATACTGCACCAGGCATAAATAATATGTATCATAATTATATGATGTTAAGTTTTACATTGATGGCGGCTAGTTATGACACAGTTAGTGTACAACTGGATCATAAAGTGTACGATTCATCGAACTGTTTGAAGGATAAAAACAACAGAAATCGGTTCAATACTCTCAAGTATGTCAAATACTTAGATCTTAAACTTCCTTGAAGCATTTTGTAAGGAAGGAGTGACGATCTCTAAACTTCATCAAAATCATTCACAATGCTCAAGTTTACAATATAATTTTGTCAACATAAGTCACTACATTTGGTAACTTCTAAGTCAAACTGTGATTAAAAAAATATCTTAAATGAAAATTACATTCCTCCTAGGCATAAAGTGATCACTAGAAAGCTATGTTTAGATACGCAATTTACACTGTTGTATCAATCACTTGAATCGAACAACCTTACAAAAAACTTTGCACTTTAAACTGTTCCGTCTCGTAAATTTTATTGTTTTCATAAAATACTTTCTATCGTACAAAACACATAAGGTTCGAAGGAGGGCAATAAACACACGGCTTTAACACTCGCTTCACGTGTAAAACATTTATGTATTCCTATCAGGTAATCAACTCCTCATTATTTCAACAAAACTACGTATATCACACATAAACACAGTATCACAAGAATGTTGAAAGCTTAAGAAGAGTACTTTCCTGAACGCGTTAAAATCATGACATCAGCTACTTATCCAGTCAGGATGAACAGACTGTTGTTTCTATGTGATAAAATCCAATGATTATTAATAATTAAAATCAAAATACCCAGAATCCATTGAGAAATTAACGATGTTAATCAAGAATTTATGTCAATACAATGCAAGTGAAAATCGGTCTTTCATGTAGAGCATGTGTTTCATTAGTGAATATTTATTTAGGAATATATACATTCTTTACTTTGCAGGCATTCCATTAGGATTGGAATCAAATGTCTGAAATTTACCTGAATTATTGTTCTAACAAACCTTAATGATGATTAAGATAATGGCCGCCACACTGCGAACAAAGGCAAAGCAGACGATCAAACAGAAGCAGACGACACTTATTTCCCATGAGACAGTGTAAAATAACTAGAAAAACATTACTTTTCTATTACATTTTGATGATTCCCTGACAATTTGTTTTCATGAAAGCTTCATTAGAACATAAATTAATAATTTTTAAATACAAGTTGTCTCCCCTGAAAAAATTCCTATGGGAAGTTAAAATTTTTGAAAAGGTGACTTATGTGTGTCACAGGGTGAGAAAAATGTGCAGCCTGACCTTGACTAGAACCTGTGACCCTTGGAATACCGTACTAGTACGGCTATACCGACTGAGCTATATAACTGCCTGTTACACACTATCTCCCTATATTAGTGAACAGTTCATTACCATGACATATTTATGTCTAATACAAAAAAAGGGAACACTTTAATTATAATTTTATGAGCAGTAGGTAGTTAAAACAGCAGACCGCAGATATTAGGTACCAGGACTCCTATACAACAGTAATATAACATTTTCAACTTCAAACAATTTATTAACGAAAGTAAGAAAAGATTTGGTACATCACCTTAAAACAATCCATTTTTAAGCTGCTGGTAAACTATCCAAAAAATTCAACACAAATGGCCTTCTATGGCTTTAAACTTCCAAGTTACAATGCTAGGTCATAAGCTACTAAATTACAAAAACCTATTCATCGATAAATATAATTTGACAATAATCTATACATTGATCACATGGTACAATTATTTTGAAATTTCATATACTATCTTTGAGACATTTTTCATTCAATTCTTATTAACCATGATCAGGCATTTCTGTGTTTGCTAATAATGAACGTTTAAAGGTCCAGCCTTGAAATTACTGTGTCACGAAACTCTTGAACTAAAAAAAATACTAATAAAACCCCCCCAAGAAAACCACACACATGTCTTTTTCTTTTGTTTCTTTGGGTTTTTTTTTTTAAATATCATTGACAATAATTATATACATATTAACATGTACTTAACTTTAAATTATTTTTTCTCACATTTTTGTTATTGGAAGAAATTATTTAATGTTACTTTAAATACTTATATACTAAAATTAGAAGTTAGTTGAGAATTACCCAACAGCTTTTACAGTTTTTCCAATACCACCTTTTAACAATAACAATAATAAAGTAGAACCATTCCAAAAGCATTTTTCTTTATTGTAAATATTGTTGCTGAATTGAAGTGGGATTTAAACATAAGGAATTTTACAGTAAAGTGTGATAAACAAACAGTGGAGACATATAATCATTGTATATGGATAAATGGGCGAGAAAAATTACTACCACCACCCTATGTCAGATAACTACTATAATGTTTGATGGTCAACTTATTCTGATAAAAGAAGGAATAAATGTGATAAAAGATTATGTTACGCATCTAGCCGCAACATTCCATGATTTAAATTACCGGGTAAACACCGACAATTATTTAATGTGGTAATTATTTAATGTTCATGTTTGTATGGCTTGTTTATTAAAAAAAAAAAAAAATATTTATTAAAATAGAAGAAATGAATTGTTTTGTTCCTTTTTTTTTAACAAATTGCTGTTTTCCATTTTCATTTTTGTATAAAAATGAATTTTTTTACAAATTCTGTTGTTCTTTTTATTAAGTATGAATATATCCAAAATTAAAGTATAAAACTGATGCAAAAATAATCAATTAAATTTACTCAGTCCATTAATAAACTGGAAAAAAACATTTACTGATAAATTTTTAGAGAGTACTTGGTAATTAAGTGTCCCCATTGTACCATCCAGCAGACTGCGTGAACCAAGCATGACGATTGAACACTTGATCAACAATTACTGTATCATATTCTTAAAACATACTGAAAAAATCTGACACTTCTGAATAAAATATACATGAAAAAAAATATATATATATATAAAACACTTTATAAAATATTAAAATTTCTTACCATTACCTTCCCTGCCTATAAACATTTAACTATTACTTTTTCCTATATCACTTAATACATGTATTTTCCTCTTTTTGAGAAGGAAAAAAAGTAGAAGAAAAGAATGCTAGTCGAACATTGTTGTGGTCACTGCATAAAACAGTATCAAATGCTTCTTAACTATTGTTACAATTGGATGGGTCCAGGGAAAAGAAAGGCCGCTCAGATTTATGACATATTAAAATATTTGTAAAATATCACAGCTTATGATTATACAATCAGTGTAAGGTTGTACAAGTGCATTCAAAGTGTAGGCTAAATCTGTATAATCCCAGATTAATAAATAAACATATTATATGCATTAAATGTCAACACAACAGTGCTTTCATTTATCCCAGTGTCAGGTAAACAAATTGTTAAAAACTGCACATTCTTCTTCTTACTAAGTATAAATAGAAAACATTAAGGCTCATAAAAAAACATACATTCAGTCAAAAACCCCACAAAAACAGGACCTGGTGGTTTGCAATGACGATACAGTACTGACTTATAGCAGTCTTTAAAATAAAAGATTGTCTTTCATACAATTTTTCTTTTCACTATGATATTTTAAAAATTTGTTAAAGTAATGTATCTTTTTTAACAAGACCTTTTTCTTAGTCACTGAGAGTTTCAGAATTCCTACATCAGAAGTAGTTTCAAAATTTGACCCCAGAACCTAAATGTTCTTAGTACTTAAAGCTTGTGTTGGACCTGAGACAGTACATGTAGGTGCAAAAAAAATAAGAACGACAAAGAGCACAGGGATGTCCCTGTTAAACAAGACAAAAAGCAGAAACAAGATTGCATTTGAGAAAAATGCTATGCCACCGCATTAATACCTAAGCTCTAGGCCTTTTGGGCATTTACAAGAAGGTATTTTAAGTTTTTGAAGCCTTGTACCTTGTACCTACAGACAATAAGATTTTTTTATTTTTTACTATATGTATATATTGAAAATCAATGACCCCCGGGGCGGGGGCAATTTTGACCCCAGGGCTATAATTTGAACAATCTTGCTAGAGGTTCACTACACAATGTTTCATGCAAAATATCTAACCTCTAGCATTTGTCAATTGCTAGAAGAAATTTTTTTAAAGTTTTTACTATATACATATAACGAAAACCAATGACCCCCGGGTCAGGGCCGATTTTGACCCCAGGGCTATAATTTGAACAATCTGGGTAGAGGTCTACAACACAATGCCTTATGCTCTAGGCCTTTTGGGTCTTTACAAGTAGGTATTTAAAGTTTTTACTATATGTACATATAGTGAAAATCAATGACCCCCGGGGCAGGGCCGATTTTGACCCTAGGGCTATAATTTGAACAATGTTGGTAGAGGTCTACCAGACAATGCCTTATGCAAAATATCTAAGCTCTAGGCTATTTGGGTCTTTACAATAAGGTATTTTAAGTTTTTACTATATGTACATATAGTGATAATCAATGACGCCGGGGCAGGGCCGATTTTGACCCCAGGGCTATAATTTGAACAATCTTGGTAGAGGTCTACCAGACAATGCCTTATGCAAAATATCTAAGCTCTAGGCCTTTTGGGTCTTTACAAGAAGATTTTTTAAATTTATTCTTATAATTCCTTTTGGTTGCCATGGCAACCAGATTTCTGCATGGAATGAAATTCTTTGAACAACTTTGGAAGCCCTTCACCCAAGGATCAATCCTGCCAAGTTTGGTTGAAATTGGACTATTGGTTTTTCACAAGAAGATTTTTTACATTCACTATATAATCTATATAACAATGACCCGGGGCGGGGCCTATTTTGACCCCAGGGCTATAATTTGAACAATGTTGGTAGAGGTCTACCAGACAATGCCTTATGCAAAATATCTAAGCTCTAGGCTATTTGGGTCTTTACAATAAGGTATTTTAAGTTTTTACTATATGTACATATAGTGAAAATCAATGACCCCGGGGCAGGGCCGATTTTGACCCCAGGGCTATAATTTGAACAATCTTGGTAGAGGTCTACCAGACAATGCCTTATGCAAAATATCTAAGCTCTAGGCCTTTTGGGTCTTTACAAGAAGATTTTTTAAATTTGTTCTTATAATTCCTTTTGGTTGCCATGGCAACCAGATTTCTGCATGGAATGAAATTCTTTGAACAACTTTGGAAGCCCTTCACCCAAGGATCAATCCTGCCAAGTTTGGTTGAAATTGGACTACTGGTTTTTCACAAGAAGATTTTTTAAGTTCACTATATAATCTATATAACACACACACACACACACACAAACAAACACACACACACACAGGTGAATCGCTATATGCCACCGCATCGCAGATGCTGCGGTGGCAAAAAACAGTGTAATGAGTATATTAATAAAGGAAAGAAATTTTAATATGTTTACACATAAATTTAATTGCCAAAGTTGAAACTAAACCATAACAAATGCTACAAAAGTTACCTTGTTTTCATAAAATCACACAAGTAAACTCAGTCTTAAGCCCTTGCCAAACAAAGTTATCCACCAGTTTGAGCCAAAATATTTTGAACAGTATACAACACTTAATTTTACAGGATATTTAAGAAAAAAAAACCTAAAAATTTACATTAATTTCATTTATATGACAGTTTTAATGCTTAAAAAACACGTCAAGCTTTTAGTATATC